TTCACATGGCTTTCTGAATATTTGAATTTAATGTAATGTGCTTGCCATTCTCATGGATTAACAAAATATAGGCTAAGAAAAGGAACTTCCTTGAAAGACTTTATCCTACATTTAACATTGTGCTGTATCTTATTAGCAATTAATGAGATAAAAAAAAATTTTCTTCTTATACCTCTTGGTTGTTTGATCTCTAGGCAGCATTCAGTAACATTGACCAATGTATCCTGCTGGACTGCCTATAAGGTTTGGGAGTTAAGGAGCACTTTTTTATGGTGATTCTCTCCTTTTGTGGGTTGTTCCAATTAAAGATAATGAGGAAAGAACCATCAGGGATCTGCTTCAGTATTGGATGGCAGGACTTGGCTCTCTTTTGTCTATATGAAGCCATTGGGAAAGGCCACCTGTCAATCTGAGAGGAATTATCGGTATGCTGATAATACTGTTATAGATTGTCACCCAGGACAGAAATGCTGTAGAAGCTCTCACCTTTTGCTAATGTTTGGAGGCTGGGAGGGACTAAATTGGACAAAACAAGCCTAAATTCAATCCAGAAAATTGGAGTTATTGGATGTCCCAAATGCAGCTCTTCCTGGACTGAGAGGCCATGGTGACAGTGATTAATGCTCTCATCCTCATGTACTTTAGACTAGAACAATGTGATCTGTGTCGGACTACTTTTGAAGATGTCTTAGATTTTGCATTTGGAACAAAATGTGAAAATCAGGTTGCAATGTACTATTAATTTTGCAATTGCAGCCTTTTGCCAATAGGCCTTAAGTCCAATTCAAATTTGGTTTAACCTATAAATTCCTTTAAATTTTGGCTGTTAGGCATCTTAGGGATTATCTCCCGCAAATTGATTCTGCTTGTCCATTGCAAGTGTTTAGGGAGAGGACACTCAGGAGCCTGACTTAATATAATAATAATAATCCTACCAACAATAATAACAAATGAAATTTGCTTGCAAGCAAGAACAGCAGGACCACAAAATAGACAAGGTAATAGAAAATGAAGAAGCTAAAGTGCTTTAGGGCTTTAGAATTCAAACAGATAAGCACCTGACACATGATATACAAATTTAATAACTACCAATAATCAAAACAAAAATGTCTGGATAGTGGACATTGCAATAGCTGGAGTTAGCAGAATAGAAGAGGAAGAACTGAAGATAATACAAAGATCTGCAATAGAAGTAGAAAGACTGTGGCAAAAGAAAGCAAAAGATAGATGTCTTGGGTGCAATCCTGAAATACGGTATTTGGAGCACCACTTGAACACCATTGGCATTTGCAAAATGTCCAGTTAGCTGCAAAAGGCAGCTTTATTTGGAACAACATATATCTTGTGACCATGGTTTTAACACTATCAAACAACAACTTCCGCCTATCTCGCCTTGCAGAGGACTTGATAGATGGATAAAGAACCAAATTCAGTGTAAACATCTGACCGACTGTGTGGCCAACCATAATAATTTTATTTTTAAATTAAATGTATTTTTAAATTTTATTTATTTAACCATGACCTGGATGACTGAGAATCTCCACAGGCTTTTAGCTATACAATTTGGGATGAACATCCTTTGAATAGTGTGGGAGTAGGAAGGGATTACCAGAGGAAAAAATTGCAGACTACAGGAACCAAGAGCACGACTCAGGTGACCCTGGGGACACTGATAAACTTCCAAGTGCTTCAAGGACCCTCTAAAAGGATGCAGATTACCAGATGTCTGCAAGGAATATAAATCCTTCCATTCCCCACCATCCTGTCAGAGCTGAAAAAGCTTCTTGGATGAGAAGCAAAACGTCTTCAAAGAAAAAAACAAAGTCCAATTGCCTCCTGAAAAAGTACCTTTGGGACAACCATGACCTGGTTGACTGAGAATCTCTACAGACTTTTAGCTATTAAAATTTAAGTGTAATTTTACCTCTACGCACACTCTCTAGCCCAAACCTTGGTGTGTGTGTGTGGGGGGGGGGAATTCAACATCTCAGCTTTGATAAAGACTCCAAATATTTTGCATAGTTACCCAGTTACCATGGTTTTTCTCATTCCAATGTTTGCTATACCTCTCAGTTTAAATAACTCCTGTAAAAAAAAAAAATCAGTCTAGCTCCTCTATGCATATGATGAAGCGAATTGCTATCAATGAAAGTGCATACCTTTTAAAAACACGTGTTAACTGGAAACAGTGGTACCAGGCTTCTTTTGGTGTTTTGCTATCATAACATGGGTCTCCTCCAACTATTAGCTTTTGTGTAATTCTAAGAAATTCAGGTCTATTTTCAAGAACAGAAGGAGCAAATGCTAGATGGAGTTTCTCCTCATGATGAAGAACTAGACCAATCTTTTTTTCCCCTTGGTCTTGATTTAAGCCTGTAGTGTAATCAAACAGTTTGACATTTGAAAGATCAATTCTTTGGCCCCCAAATTACACAATCAAGCTCTAGATTACAAATGAACTCAATTTGTTATGATCGAAGGTTGGGAGGGGTGGGGGCGAAGGCCCAAGCATTTAGTCTGAGATTACTTAGGACACAATCCTTAGGCCTCTCCATTGCATGCCAATGCTGACAGGGATATTTTGGATTTCATCTCTGGGTTCTCATCTTGGAAAGAAGAATTTGGAACCTGATCCTCTTTCTCCTGTTCCCCACGGCCTCCACTGCTGGCTGCTTCTGTGTCTGAGGAGGAAAAAAGACAGATTCCAGATTTGTTTCTAGCTTTGCAAATTGTTTCCAGGCCTGAGTTTGGCTGTAGTTCTTGAAACTCTGCTTCGGTATAATAGAAGATTTCTGGCTGGATAGCTCAGGATTCATTTTAAAGCATTCCATTAACCTAGGAAGAACTCAGGCCAAGCAAATGTTTTATATTTCTCCAAGATGAAGGCAGACACTGTTTATGTTAAATGGTTCTAGTGCTCCTCCCCGCCAAACTTGTTCTAAACAAACAAGAGAAGTGAAGACACCCTCAGTTTGAGTTCAACTCCTGGTGACTGCACCAATATATCCATACATATTATTCTTGTATTCTTGACCACAATTCAGAAATGATTTAGTATTGCCATCTTTTGAGATTGTTTAGTTTTTTTTTTTTTTTTACTTCTCAGTATAGTTTACAATCCTGGTATTCCTGGGAGGCCCCTGCACATACCATATTAAACAGACTCAATACTGCCTAGCTCCTAAACCCAGACGAAGTTAGCCACAGGCTGCCAGTTGCTGAGACCAAATAACAAACAAACAGCCTGTTACAGCAATGAGCTAAATATACTTCAGAATCTGAATAGGACTCTGATTGACCATAACATATGGAATTGGTCACTGTTCTTATTTATTTTTGTTTTTCGGTCAGGAAAGTATTTTAAAAGAATTCATTGTTTGGCTCCAAACTTCATCTTGGTTTCACAAAGCATCTTCTTCCTGCATTGGAAAATGAGGACACAATATCTAAGGTAAATGGATTGCATTAGAGTAGAGTTGCTCGGAAGCCAGTTTGGCATTCAAAGGGATGAATTTCTATTTCACTTTATCCTGCTCTATATAAAATGAAAACACCAGAACCAAACTGTGAGATGCTATTCACATAATTAAGAATAGAATGTCCTTTTGAAAATATATAACGAATGTCGAAGGCCTTACTGAGATCAGAATATTAATTTGGTTAACCCCCACCCCATATTGGTTAGAGTTCTGATGTTTGCTGTTGACATAGGAAGAGAAACTTCCTTCCATAACAACAACTCTTGAGGTTTGCTGTTGACATAGGAAGAGAAACTTCCTTCCATAACAACAAGTGAGGGATCCATGGTGGTCTCTGGACTTGGTTGTTTTCTTGCAGACATTTCGTTACCCAATGAAACAAACAATGAATTGGATAATGAAACATCTGCAAGAAAACAATGAAGCTCAGAGACCACCAAGGCACCCCCATTTCAACCCTGAGCTACAAATATTCTCCTTTATTGATACCAACAAGTGCCATTTCTCCTGACCTGATTCTCTTCCTATATCCTGATTTGCATTGGATTCTACATACTTCTTATCTCTCTTTTAAAAATACAGTGAGCAATTATATGAATGACATGAATATTCAGCTTGAACAAAAATAGACAATTAAAAACAACACCATCCATTTCTGGTTCAGAATAGGCTATAAGGGTAGGCAGTTAGACAACCTAGTGTTCATGAGGATGAGTTTGTGTCAAAGTACCAAAAGTGGCAGCTGTATTTTCCAACATGCAAATGCGCAAAACAATTCTCAGTTGCAAAACAATTCTTTCCAGTGTTGGGACAATCAACTTCACATCCTGTACTGCTGGAAATCAACTTGTATGCCAACATCCTATTCTGAAATTGATGTCAAATGGGATTATGGTAGTGCTTCCTTTTGCCCATTTCTCTCAAGGATGAGGAGACTGTTCAGAATATATACAGTATATTCTGATTTTTCCAACAATTGGTGAATTACCCACCCTGAGCATTAGTGTGAGTGGTGCAGTCAGGAGAATTTGAAGGGATATAGGATCCCATTCGTTTTTTTTTTTCTAATGCTCAATAATTTAATAGATATAGTAGGAGATGGGGTGGAAAGGGGGAAACCAAGGTCAGGATCTAGGAAAATATTTCCATCTGAACTAAATTGGGTTACTTGTCAGTTTAACACCGTTGTTTTTTTTTTTTTTGTCTTTTATGTCCCTGTCAGAATCACTCCTAGCTATCCATATGTCTTCTCAGTGTGAGAAGATTTACTCCCTAGTGCCCATTAAACAACCTGACAACTTTTATGGATGCTGTTGGCATCCATAAAGGAGGGGAAGCAAAGCCTTTTAATTTAATTTTCCTTGAAACAGGCAAAAGTTGTACATCCTGCAGCCTGCCTGTTGTGACTACAGTGACAGCTAAGAGCCTTTTTCGAAGGTTTGTTTAACTCTTTCCTGGTTGTAACTCTGCATAGAAGAATAAGTGGCTGCAGCTATTGGGATGTAGCCAGTGAGTGGGGGAGGTGGATTTTGGGGAAATTCCCCTGAAATTCCTTGTATCTGAAACATAGTGGACTGGAGGAGGGGAGAAATCACCAATAACCAGCTTTTGCCTTGGACTCTACTGCAGCAAAGAGGAAAAGGTCTGCTTTTAACAGAGGAGCAGACACAACCCATTGAAAACAATAGTAGTGAAAGACTGGAACCAGTTGTATAAAGTAAACACCTCTTAGACTGTTCCTTTTCACGACTCCTGGTCTTTTTCTTCCTGGGCAAAAATATGCGAAACACTGTTTTTATTTTGACCTTGCTTAAAAAGAAACTTTGTTCACTAAAGCTGTTTAGTGAACAAAAAGATGATTTCTGCTTGAATGCAATTGTTAATTTTCATTCCAGAGATAGAGATTGCTTTTATACAGAGTAGCAGAAAGGACATACACATAGCTTTTTTTTTTGGCCTAATTTAGTTTTGAATTAATAATGTAACTCCCATCGCTTGTTTCATTCAGCTGCAAATCAAACTGCTCACTTGTTTTCATAACTTCAGCTATTTGTTATGTAATATCTTTTGATATATCATGAATATATGTATGAAGAGTGTCACTTGACATTAGTATCTATTCACTTTGCTTGCAAGATCATCCCCACAAGTCATGTCTACCTTGTCTCTATCTCCTGATTTCAGCAGGTCCTCATCAATAGCATATCATTTGTTTTGCTTTGCGGTCTGTCAAGCAACATGACAAAAACGAAGATTAGGTTGCTGCACAGGATACAGTGTACAGATTTATTGGCTGGAGTGTCCAATCTCTGTTGTTGAAACTGTTCTTCCCTTTCAAAGTTTCCCTATTCATTGCCAGCAAAAGTGCTTGTTTAATTTTAAGTTGCTCTTTAGCTTACTCCACTTTAGAAATTCATTAATTAGAACTTCAACACAGATCAAATACATGTGAGAAAAGTGAAACTTATCTCTATAAAAAATCTTCTTTATACTCATGTAAGGATTTGCCTGTAGATGGGTTATGGGAAGAAGAGATATTTGCTTGTAAGTTTATAAGGGGTGAAGAGTTTTCAAATTTGTTTTTAACTTGTTAAGAAGTAAAAGTCATTTTTGGAAGTCATTACTTTCATTTTTATCTTTTTCTTTATCATACTTCTTTTTCTTTCCTTGCACTTTATTTTTTTCATTCTATTCCCCCACCCTGAATTTAGTGTATTTACTTTTACTATTAAATTCTTTAGTAGCAAATAAATCAAAATATTTAATGAAAATTATGAAAAGTTCTACTATTTTTATTTATTTAGCATGACCAAAGTTGTCTCAGTACTAAATTCCAGCATGAAACTTGACTGAAAGTGGTTTAAATAATCCATATCCTCTAGAGTTTTCATCAGCTGCAGACCAAACTTTTCAGCAACCTATACTAGAAAAGGATTGGAATAATTGATAGTTATCAAAGGCCACTGGATCCAGAGATGGCCTCTTTAGGAGGCACCACTGCTTCTTTCAAGACTGAGGGCACCACCCAACCATCAATGAACCTGCGGCTTTTGATACCATCAACCATGGTATCATGTTGCGCCGGCTGGAGGGACTGGGAGTGGGGGGCATCGTCTTGCGGTGGTTCTACTCCTATCTCTCCGACCGGTCGCAATCTGTGTTGACGGGAGCAGCGGTCGACCCCAAGGCACCTTGTTTGTGGGGTGCCACAAGGGTCGGTCCTCTCACCCCTCCTGTTCAACATTTATGTGAAGCCGCTGGGTAAGATCATCTGTGGTTTTGGCGTGGAGTTCCATCAGTACGCTGATGATACTCAGCTGTACATCTCCACCCCAGACCATCCCAACGATGCTTGGAAGTGATGTCCCAGTGCCTGGAGGCCGTGTGGGTCTGGATGGGGAGAAACAGGCTTCGACTCAACCCTTCCAAGACCGAGTGGCTGTGGCTGCCGGCGTCCCAGTATAGCCAGCTGATGCCATCGCTGGTTATTGGGGGCGAATCATTGGCCCCCACGGAAAGGGCCTGCAACTTGGGCATCCTCCTGGGTGCACGGCTGTCTTTAGAAGAGCATATGATGGCCGTTGCCAGGGGGGCTTTCTATCAGGTCCACCTGATACGCCAGTTGCGCCCCTTTCTGGATCAGGACTCCCTACGCACGGTCACTCAAGCACTCGTCACTTCTCGTCTGGACTATTGTAACGCTCTCTACATGGGGCTCCCCTTGGGGTGCACCCAGAGGCTCCAACTGGTGCAGAATGCGGCCGCGCGGGGGATTATGGGAGCGACGGGGCGCTCCCATGTGACTCCTCCTGCGCGAGCTGTATTGGCTTCTGGTGGACTTCCGGGTGCGCTTCAAGGTGTTGGTGAGCACCTTTAAAGCGCTCCATGGCTTAGGGCCGGGGTACTTACGGGACCGCCTTCTGCCACCAATTACCTCCCACCAGCCAGATCGCTCCCACAGAGAGGGCCTCCTCAGGGTGCTGTCGGCCAGACAATGCTGGCTGGCGACCTCCAGGGGGAGAGCCTTCTCTGTGGTGGCACCTACCCTCTGGAACAATCTACCCCCAGAGATACGAGTGATCCCAGACCTCCGGATGTTTCGTCGGGCCCTTAAAACCTATTTTTTCAGTTAGCCGGGCTGTCCTGATTTTATGGTTGGTTTTTAAAATTTGATATTGATTTTAATTGAAATGTTTTAAATTATGGGCCAAACTTTATTTAATTATTTTAAATCTATTTTAACTTTTGTGTACAAATGTTTTATTTTTGGCTGTTCACTGCCCTGAGTCCGAAAGGAGAAGGGCGGTATAGAAATCTGAAAAATAAATAAATAAATAAATAAATAAACCGGCAAATACCACCTCTGGCAGGCCCCAGAGTGGGGTGGGAATGGAGATTTTGCAGTATCCTTCCCCTGCCATGCCCACCGAGCCACGCCCACCAAACCACACTAGGCCCACCAAGTAACACCCACAGAACCGGAGGTAAAAAAATTTGAATTTCACCAGTGTGTGGTTGGCTGGATGGAAGTAAAAAAACAAAGCATCCCAATAGAGCAGGGGTCTCCAACCTTGGCAACTTTAAGACTTGTGGACTTCAACTCCCAGAGTTCCTCAGCCAGCAAAGCTGCTGGCTGAGGATCTCTGGGAATTGAAGTCCACAAGTGTTAAAGTTGCCAAGGTTGAAGATCCCTGCAATAGAGACTCTTCCCCGTGTCTAGTCAGACTCAGTGTGGCTGATACAGTCAGAGACCAAGAAATGGTTAGTATCGGAAGTAAATAAAACAGATTAATCAAAGAGTGTGAATGTTGTTAAAAATGAAAGAGATGAAATCCTTGTCTCAATTGCCATGGTGACCCAAGGACTACTGTTGCGCTCTTCTAATATATGGGTAGGGAGAATGCACACAAAAACTATAGGAGATTTCATTTTTTAACTGTGGCTGTTGAATGTGACAGAGTTGTTGGTAGAATTTTGACTGAAATAGTATGAGAAGGGACAATGAGCAACATTTGGGGAGTATCAGACAGAAGGTTTTCAAAACAGATTTTTGCCTTCCAGCAGATTAAGTGAGAAATATATAAAAGTTTATTATATAATAGGTTTAAGGAAGCAATTTAATAAAGTGAATAGACTTGAATTATATAGTGTTTTTCAAGAGCATGAAATTGAAGTGTGATGAATTGATGAATTGATGAATGCTTCCATTATGTAGTGCTTGAATAACAAAACATAAATTGAATTATTTGAGATGGTCCAATATTGAGCAGACAATAAGTCAAGTACTGTGTGTTCTCCTTAATGATTTAATATATTTATGGATAAATTTATGTGGAATGCTTGTGGTAGCCACAGAGTAGTATTTGTGGGGATGTGAACGTAGGTGTACTATAATATGCAGTTGATACTGTGTTGTTAGCTGAGAACTCAAATAATTTCCAGTGAAAATTCAATAAATTATATAATGCAATGTGAAATATGAATCTAAAAATTAAGATATCAAAGACCGCTAGGTAAATTTGGCAGAGAAAAGGGAGTGACAAGTGAAGAAAAACTAAAGCAAATAGATGAGTTTATTTATCTTAGTTGGGTTCTTGGCTGATTATGGAAACACTTTTAAAAGCCATATGTAGATTAAATACCATAATAGTTTTATGCAGGAGTTCTCATTTTTTGTAATAGCAAGATATTCCAAAATGATAAATGAACTTGCATGCCCACAAATTGTTGATAAAATGAATGACATCATTTGGGTTAAGGATTTCAGGAAACCATCACACTACTTCCTCTAAGATGCAGAACTTTCATTGTACTTTCTTGATTTAGCTTAACATTACCAGTTGATCAGTCATTAATTTTACTAACACCTTCCTCTGAAATCTATAGGATGGAGATATACTGTTATATGCTACATCAGAAATCACTATTATCAATAATAGCTCTAACAATATTGGCTAGATCCAATATTTTAACTATCTCTCAAAACTCATGCTGGGCTTTGCTATGTAAGCAGGGGTGAAATTCAGCAGGTTCTGACAGTTTCTGGAGAACCGGTAGCGGAAATTTTGAGTAGTTCAGAGAACTGGCAAATACCACCTCTCGCTGGCCCAGAGTGGGGTGGGAATGGGGATTTTGCAGTATCCTTCCCCTGCCATGCCCACCAAGCCACATCACGCCCACCAAGCCACGCCCACAACTGATAGTAAAAAAAATTGAATTCCACCACTGTATGTAAGTCTGATATGTGCTTGCATTGGCAAGGCAGGAGTACATGTTGATGAGGGGTCCTAGGTGATCTCTGAGCTTGGTTGTTTTCTTGCAAATATTTCATTACCCTAACTAGGTAACATCATCACTAATGATGTTACCTAGTTTGAATAATGAAACATTTGCAAGAAAACAACCAAGCTCAGAGAGCACCACGGACCCCTTATTTCAACCCTGAGCTACAAATAATTCTCTTTTATTGGGACATTTTTATAATGCTCTCACTTTGCCTGGGCAAGTCTGATTAGCTTAAAAATTCTACGACTCCCCCTCCCCTTTTAAAACTGATGGACTCCTGGTATAATACTATGTGTGGTTTTTACTAGAATTGTAGGAATCTCCAAACTTTTGGGTACATTATTAGAAAACAGTTGGCTGCTTGGATTTTTTTTTCAGCATTTATTAATATGTTGACTTTTTCTAAGCATCTGTTGTGGCTCTGTTACCTGAGCCTGTGTCATCGGCAGGAGAGGACTCCGAGAGTGAAGGAGAGGAGTTGGCAAGGCCTCCCTCTCCAGGACCCTCCTCTCTGGCAATGCCTTCGGTGTCCACCGAAGGGCAAGAGATAGGGCCGGGGCCAAGCACGTCCACGCAGCCACAGGTGGACAGTGATGAGGGAAATGAGTCTTGGCTGGATCCTCAGCAGCGTCGCAGAGATAAGCGCGCGCAACAGAAGAAAAGGCGTGCCAGAGATTAAGCTGAGTCACTGGATCACACCCCACAGGGTATAAAAGGGGGTGAGGTGGCCATTCAGACTCTCTGATGGACAAAACTAACTACTATCAAGTCACATTGCAACTTTGGAAACAACATTATCGGCCTTGGATTTATTTTACGAACTGGACAATTCTTGACTGTGTGTATTTTGTTTTTGAGTAAAGTTCTTGGCAAGCAGCTACTGGGGACAGAACAGCATCTGTATCATGAACTGATAGGGCTGAGCACTACTTTGGATGGGGAAAAGATACTTTTGCAGCACATGGAGAATTTCATGGCCCCTGTTGGCAGTCCCTTGAAGCAACTATATCTTCCTAGGATTGCATGAGTACCTTCTAGGGCTGCAGCATAGTTCTGGAAAAGATACATTTTTTTTTTAATTTGATTTATATGCCGCCCTTCTCCGGAGACTCAGGGCAGCTTACAATGCGTTAAGCAATAGCCTTCATTCTTTTGTATATTTTATACAAAGTCAGCTTATTGCCCCCACAAACTGGGTCCTCATTTAACCTACCTTAGAAAGGATGGAAGGCTGAGTCAACCTTGAGCCTGGTAAGATTCAAACCTGCAATAATTGCAGGCAGCTGTGTTAATAACAGGGTGCTTTAAACCACTGTACTACCAAGGCTCTACATTTGGTGAAGCAGTTGCTGATGGATGCTCTGTGAGTGCCCATGCATCACCAAAGTACTTTCTTCTCTGTGAATCTAAAGAGACACAGCACTACCGTATCAATTGACCAAGTTACAAATGACAAGTGTAATATTTTTCATGACACCTATTAAAGAAAACTTCATAGAAAAATTATGGAGTGTGCGGAAATGGATAAGCTTACGAAGGAGATACAAGAAAAAGAGGAAACAGAATATTACCTAGTCTGGGAGAGATGGTATAAATGGTTGGAGGAAAAGGGAAAAAAGGACAAGGAAAGACCAAATAACAGTTGAATTAGGTGGAGAAATATAGGAACAAATGGGAAGAAATAAAAATTGTGGAAAGGAAATTGTGTACACGTTTATGTCAAATGTAAATAAAACAATTATAATAATATAATACATTATAATGGTATATATATGATATATTAGAAATATATGTATAAAAGATATACTAAAATAAGAGAGAGAAAATGTATAAGTATGGATTACCGACGCAAAACTGTTGAAAAGAAGAAATTGTTAATATCTCTTTTTGTTTTTATCTAACAAGTTTTCACTTCCTACAGAAAGTTAAGAATTTAAGTTATTGTACTGAAACTGCTCAATCAATACTTGTCTTGGAAGAAAAGACTGTGATTGTTTTTCATTGCCTTCACTAAACACAGAGCAAAGCTGAATGCATGGGAAGTCACACTCGATTCCATAAATTTCTTTTAACAGTCCATCTTAAATAACTATGAACTTTAGTTGATTGGAATGAAATCCAGTGATGAGGAAACAAACCAAAACTCAATTTCTGTCATAGAAGCAAGACTGATGTTTACATTAGAAAGATATTGTAAGTTATCTCCAGAGGTTTATTTAAATCAAGAAATTATATAAAAGTGTCAGTAGCAGGGGTGAAATCCAGCAGGTTCTAACAGGTTCTGGAGAACCAGTAGCGTAAATTTTGAGTAGTTCAGAGAACCAACAAATACCATCTCTGTCTGGCCCCAGAGTGGGGTGGGAATGGAGATTTTGCAATATCCTTCCCCTGCCACGCCCACCAGAACCAGTAGAGAAAAATTTTGAATTTCACCCCTGGTTAGTAAGGTTTAAATTCAGGTATTGCAGCAGAACTGACTATGCTGAAAATCGAATGGACAAAAAATAAATAAATAAAAACAGAGCATTTTCTCTCATTCATTCGGCAGAATTTTGAGAGATGTTTGCTAGTTAATGAGTTCAGAGTAGTTCTGTTTTGACTTGCTATTTTGGGGGCCCCAAATGATGGCTTTCAGTTGCCGAGTATGCTTGTGGTTGAACAATCCTTGCTGCTGGGTTTATGTCATGCCTTTGTGTTTACAGTCAATACTGTGTGCTTCTGAGGTCCTGGCTGAGCACCATTTTAAGAAGTCTATCAACAAATAGTGCAGGCTTCTTACTTCCCTATTTGCTCAGCTATATTTGGAACAGGTCATTTGTGGGGAGAAAACAAGTGACAAGGAGAATAAGCTTCACACATTGTTCACTCACATCTATGGAAAGTCGTCCTTCTGGGCAGGTCAGAAGCCAGTTTCAGATAGCTTTGCCAGGACATATTTGCCCTTCCGATCCAAATTGTTCTTACAATGGATAGAGTACCAAAGGAACGAAGTTAATACCATCCCATAAATCTAGACAAAATAAATAAATGAAAAGGAAACAAACATTTGAAAATATATAGGTTAAATAGAACATTTCTGCACCGCTCTTCCAAGCTATGAGAACAGCAGCAACAAAATGCAATTACAACAAAACCAACTAGGTTTTGAACTAGGAATAGAGTACTTTTTTAGAGTGAGGTCCAGGGGTAAAATTTAGCCGGTTCTATCTGGCTTGGGCGAACTGGTAGCGGTGGCTGCGGGAGGCTCCGCCCGGATGTCATGATGCCATTTTTTCCCGACATTTTAAGCCTCTGCGCATGCACAGAAGGCTTTGTGCATGTGCGGACGATGGCGCGAGCTAAACAAGTGCACGTGCAGCATACACACATTTGCGAACCGGTAGGGAAAGTAAGTGAATTTCACCCCTGCTGAGGTCCATATTTTCTCATGGATAATTTGTTGGAGGATGCATATCAAAGCCTCAAGCGGGTATCACCCACCACATCCATACCACACACAACATCTATTCATGCATCCTTCTCCATGCACAGTGCATTTTATCTCCTTTTCTTCCTCAATATATAAAAATGCTCAATGTAAGGCCGAACAAAATGGATTGGGCTTGAAATGACTGAGAAAACAAAAGTCTTTCAGAAAAATAAACGAAAAGATAATTTTCACTTCTTCCAGGACAAGTCTCTGTAGTCCTGGAATGCATGACCAAAAAATTCTTCTCATCTAAGCAATTGGTGAACCAACTACTGCTATTCAAACCAGCTTCAAATTGGCCGAGAGAATAACACCTGCTGACTAGATCTCAGCTGGAGAGGCCATTCCAGTGGGTAGTCGTTATGAATAGAAAAAAAAATGATGATCAATAAGTTGACATTGCATACCATTAGCAGAAAGGAGTGACTTGCAAAGCCTTGTTATGCCCTCAATAATTCCACGAAAGATGGAAAGATTAATGCAAGGATGGAGGCAAATGTTCTTTCCAAAGTAGAGGATCAATACTTTATGTTCTTAAAACATAATTAGGAAATGTTGTAATCTTTCATCTTAATTCTTACACTGCTATCCCTTCTTTCTCCTCAAAGCAATTTCCCAGAAATCCATTTCTTTTATACCCTAATGCAGCTACCAGCAATTAAAGAAACCAATAATAAAATGCAATAAAAGTCTAAAAGAGAAGGGAGCAACAAAACAGGACAAAGCAGATGCAGATGATGCAATTATGTGTGTATGTGCACTTTCTGTCATTATATTAATCCTAAATTAGCCACAAAATAGAATATGTGACACAAAGACTTTAATCATGATTTGGAAGGGGAAAAAAAAGCAAGGCACCAAGTACAATGGAGTTTATCTTAAGAAACTGCAGCGGGAAACAGTTTTACCTGACCTCGGTGCCAAAATTCAAGTAGATTTAAAAAAAAAATTGCTCATTAATTCATTTCTAATTATATAATTACAAGGCCTGATCTTCTCTTGACATTCAAGCTGGAAAGAAATATCTATATCAGACTGAAAATTAGAAAGGAACTAGACCCCAATATATTAGGGAGAGATATGATATAGTGTATGCATACAATATTGTCATATAAGATTTGCAGTCTAATCCAATACAAATCTAATTCAAATCGCACTGAATTTACTGAAGCTTCATTTTGCACACAGGTGCATGGAGTGCAATGCTTCTCCACTGATTGATTAAATTAATCCATTAGAAGAACTTCTTGATCATTTAATATGCCATATTTAGTTACTGGAGAGCCTAATGCTGATTTTAGTTCATTAACTTAAAAGAAACTATTGATAATTAGAGAAAAGGTGTTTGCACACCCTTACATGTGCAGAAAATAATGCAAGTTTTTAAATGTTGATTCATACTTGTGTATATAAAAAACAAACAAATATTATTTTATAAAAGAAAAATGTTTACCTCTATGCAAATTTATGCAGGTCTGATTATGCAGATTTGTATTTATAAATGCAGTGGAGTAAAAAATGGACCATTAGAAAACAAAGAGTTATATTTCTCTGTGAAAAAAATTAAAATCATCTAAAATCATGGCTGAATGATACTTTTATTAGTAACTTAGTTACTATAAGCTAATACTATGGAGTTCTAATTGATCATTAATTGGCTGGGTTCACACTTCTCATTAAGCGATAAGCCTTGGTTCACAAGGCAGACTTCTGGGTTAAATTTAGTGCTAAGCCAAAATTAAATAAATCACATTTTGGTTTAAAATGATGATGTAGATCTTAATATGAAGCCTCTGAAAGATCAGAGAGCACCAATGTGGAAACACTTCTGCTAAATCTAGGATAGGGATTCACTGATAGGGTTCAGAGAAGGTTAATCTAGAAATGTTTTAAGATAGACTGTATTTACTAGTATAATTTCTTCAGAATAATATAGCTGGAATTTCTTCTTTTCAGAAAGAAAAACTGTAATGGCTAATAACCATGACAACCAAAATTATTTCTCCTTACTTTCTGGTTGGATAAGTAGAACCTTCATCGCATGACTCTAACGCTAGGAGGAAGATGACTTTCTGGTTTGGATAAGAAGAGCAAAGACTAGTTGAAGAACAAGCACATATTTGTAACTCAGGACTGAAATGAGAGGTCCTTGGCATTCTCTGAGCTTGCTTGTTTTCTTGCAGATGTTTCATTATCCTAACTAAGTACCTAGTTAGGGTAATGAAATGTCTGCAGGAAAAACAAGCAAGGTCAGAGAGTGCCAAGAACAGCCACATTCCCGCACCAGAAATTATGTTGGATTGGACTAATCCAAGAACAATTCAGAGCATATTGAGTCATTTATGGGGCTCTGGATTTGACCCTCAATGAGGATTTATTTATTTGATTGGTGTGCTGTCCATCTTATCCAGAGGTAATCTTGGCATCTTACATGGCCATAGAGAACAAATCTGAGTTCCAAACAAATAATTTAGCTCTCCCAGTTCTTTTGGTTTAACCAAAACTTAAATTTTACTCAGCAAAATGCAACTTTATGCAGAACTTTAGTTGCAATGCTGCCTCAATTGGAGGCACACAGAGAGAGAAAGAGACAGAGAGAGGGAGGGGGGAGGGCAGGAGAGGGAGATACTGGAACACAAAGAGTTACCATGAAGAAAATTGTGATGGTCATCAGTATAGAGACAATGTCCATATGTTTTTTCAGGAAGTGTTTGATTTCTTGGAGACAATCCTGCAGTTTGAAAAAAAATAGACTTAATATTCACTCACATAAGAGTAAACTCTTATTGAAACACATTGGAATTTACAGTTCTATCAGCCTTCATTGATAGGTTTCAACTCTACGTTATATTCCCTACTTATATTCTTAGTCACATTCTTGTTAATTAGGATTCAAGTTATTTCCCCCCCCCTAAGCTTTATTGCTACTCTGTGGAGTGGAAAGAAAGATATTTTTGTCTGGATAGTGAGGTTGTTTGAAGGTAGGCTTTTCACTCCATTTCATGCACTATGATGCTCATTTCAATTCTGATCTATGCTGAAATTAAGGTAGATTTTATTGTAAGCTTAACATTTAGCATGACGTGTTGCCTGTGTTACAAATTGGAAATTATTTTCTTAAGTGGAACTCCACTTAAAATTAAATTGAAAGATTTAGGAAAGGAAGTTAATAAAAGAATTGCCAGGCCCAGAGATTTGGCTACTTGACAACCTATCAAATAAAATAAATTTAAAAAAGAATTAGGGAGCAGCAGAGATAACAGATTAGCAGACTCTAACCAAAAACATTTTTATTTATTTTTTTGAAAACAAACATTTGGAAGAGGCTATCACTGAGATCTGTAATGTTCATATTATTATATCTGTATTGTTGGCTACACTTGCATTTTAAATTCCACAATTTAGAATACAAATGATCTTCAGAATAAAAATGAAGTTTCACTTAATTTAGGTGAAAGATGCTGTGCAGTTATAAGTATTTTTGCATTATCTCAAATGCCTTCCTGTACTAGAAAGGCCTGTAAGGTAATCCAGAATTAATCATGATGCCATCTTATTATAGTTTGGGTTTTCTGTCTCTGTTCCATGCAAGGAAGCTAACAACCAAATAAAGCCAGGTTATATAGTTTGCTTTGCTGAACACCTTAACAGGAAGATGGTAAAACAGGGAGTGCAATATAATGACTTTTGCAATGGCTAATCATTAACTATGATACTGTATCTCATTCTGGCTTACAGGATAATATTATTAGTCTTATTATTAAATTAATTTGCTGCCCAATCTCATGGTGATTCTGAGCGGCTCAGACACATCATAACCTGGAGCTAAGAGTGTACAATGTACATCTCTTTTTCATGAACAAATGTTTCATTTTTGGGCTACAATTATCCATAAGTAGAAAGCAGATATAACAAGAAATGGTAGCATGTTCAGATCCAGCAATAGGAGAAACCAAAACAAAAGGCAGGCATCTAGTTTCAGGGAGTGAAACTTCTAGCATATTCTTCCCACAAATCTCTTTCTCTTCAGGAGAGAAGAACAAATAAATGTTCCTTCAAAAAGCTTTTTCAGTACAATCTCTCTCTGGCTCAACCACTGAGTTTTATGGAGAATCCAGATGCCCTCATAATTCATTCGTAATGGCCCTGTGTTTTCTCACTGCTGCATCTTTTTAATTAACTGCTGCAAGAGCAGATCACTTACTTTGGATTGCAGAGTCATTTTGTGTTTTGCAAAGCAAGTTCTTTCTTCTCTCCCAGGGCTTCTCTAAGCTCACAAAACAGGAAGAGATTCTACAGAGTACAATGTCCTTATTCTCTGACTAAATAGTAAGGTCTGGAAGTAAGACAGCAAATTACTGGGATTTGATTGAATTTTATTCACATTTTAAATAAAATGTCAGTGTGAACACTGGAACAGACTACTTTTGTTTTAATCGAGACAAAACTGACATACTTTACATTTCGTTCATTTCAGCTGTTCCTTTCCAGTAGGATTAATAAAGCTACCAAGGTTTGTTTCTTAAATTCCCATAAGCCTTCTCAAAAGACAGTAAAACAAGTTGATAATTCAGCCTCTAGCAATGATAATGTATAATCAACTTTCCTACCATGGTACCATGAAAGCAATAATTTTAAGTCCTGTACTCTAGGGCTGCAAGATGATTTGCACACCCAAGCATTATGTGCTTCAAAAGGGCATGAATGCCAGTTTTTCTATAGTGCTCTTCACAGGTCTACTATATTTTTTGGAACTATGCTTCACCCTACAGAGAAAGCTCAATGCCACGATGAAAGTGACAATCTTTATCACTGTATTCTAACCTCATGAGAGCTGCTCAGAAGCCTGCTTAATAGCAGAACATGGGACAAAGATTGGGGTGGGGGGAATTCATACTGTAGGGAAAGGATCCCTGGGTGCCTGAAGAGAAAGTAATGGCCTTACAGTCCAATGTTCTATTACCTCTTCTTTTATTTCCAGAATTTCTGATGTACACATTTCATCTTCTATGCTGTTTCTTTCTCCAAAGGGTGACTTCTTCCCACAACATAGAAACTAAAATAGAATTTTAAATGTATTATTATTTATTTAGACATAGACTATGTAGATTGGAGTTATTACAAGCTTTTGAGAAGGAATCTGCCCACTTTTGATTTTTCTTTTTTTTTATTATTCTTTTACTTGATACTCTTTGGTTATTCTGATTTGTTCCTTCTTGTGGTTGGTAAAACCTTGGTTCCAGTTGGTTACTCGTGAGATTATTTATTTATTTAATTTGTATGATTGCCCACTTGTCATACAATTCTGGACTGCTAATATCAAATTAAAACCTCAAATTCACACACTATTAATAAAAATACACTGAACCCAAGGCAATTCATATATCCACACATGTAAACTTCTCAAATGGATTCACTTTATTTCTGGGTCCCATCAGATGACATTGTTTAATTGAAGAGATCTGCAGCACTTAACCTTGTAATATCTTGTGGAAGAAGAAAAATTCTGCAAATAACCTGGCCCTGTGGCATGAAAGGCTTTGAAGGTGAAATCAGTACCTTGATTATGTGAAAATATAAATATCTAAATAGACATCTTAGGCTGATATTTGGCCTTAGCATGCTATGCAAATATTGTTAGTTGCAGGACAGCAGGACATAGAAAGTGTTTACAAAAGCTCTCCCTCATTTCTCCACAAAAAGGCAACATGCTTTATCTCCAGACACACACACACACAGAGGCCTGGTAAGACTTCTGATCTCTCTTAGGCATAGAAACAGATTAACTGTATTTAGGTCATTATGATTATTTAATGGAACCTTTTAATTTTTAATTTATTTAATTCAATAAAGCTTTTTTCACTTTTCACCGAAGAGGAGAACGAGATTTATCTTATTTTTAGTTCAGGGCTGCATTTCTTACAGACTTTAGTAGGACTCTGAGTAGACACGTGTGATAGTTTTCTATGATTGCCTTTCATTAATTAGCCCAGTGATCTGATAATTGCTTTTAGATTGTTCCCAGATTTCCCAGAGATTAAAAGCAGCAGAGAAGGGCCTTCATAAAACTATATTTTCTGGTTCCCGGCAAGTTTGGAAACAAACTCCATTTATATTTTATAAGTTCCTTAACTATATAAAAAAATCTGTTTTCACTGTTTCAGAAATGTGTTGCCAAAGCTCATGACAGAATCTGGGATTTGCAGCTATTTCTGAATACGACGATAACCATGTGATTATAAACATAAAATACAGCTATGAATTTTGAGTTCTAAAAAAAAGTGAATTTTGTACAGAAGGGAGGCAAGAACTGTTAAGTATAAGAAACATATTTCTTATGGTCCTTATTAGATATTTTTTAAAAACAATCTGACAGGAAAATATTTCATTTAGTCATCTTTTGTAGAGGACTTGTATATAACTCTCCTCCCACAAATGTTTTCTTTATCTTGCAGTATTTTTCATATATTCAGAATACTGTTATTTTTCATGCCTCATTCATTAGCTACCCTCTCATTCAGAATTACTACACTGAGTTGCAGATGTCATTCAGTTACAGCATGTTACATCTTCCTTCCACTTTGTTTTGTTAGTTAGCTTCTATTGTAGATTCCTTAGTAGGGCAAACATTTTCCTCATTAAGAAATATGCTGCACATCAGGGGTGAAATGCTACTGGTTCGGACCGGTTCAGCTGAACTGGTAGTGATGGCGGCGGGTGGTTCAGAGAACCGGTAGTGACAGCACGTGAGGCTCCGCCCACTCACCTGGTCGTTGTTACTTCCTGGTTTTAACCAGGAAGTAACCTGTTTTTTACCCTCTGTGCATGCACAGAGGGTCCATGCGGCGCATGCACTTCCGAACTGGTGGGAAGGTAAGTAGATTTCACCCCTGCTGCACATGTAACAGTATGGGAAAAGTAGGAATTAGTGTGTTAATGACTAAGCAAAATAATTCTTTTCTCAAGGCTCAAAGAGGTGAAAGCAATTCCAAATGAAGCACCAGAGAAAGGCCAACATAAATTTGAATTAATTGTGTAGGAAACAAAATATAGTTATCTCTTCAGTTCAGTGAAATTATTGATGTTTGCTATACCCATTATTGTTCCAGCTGCTAATCTATTTTCCCCAGCAAGCCATTGAGAAGAACTAAAAGACTTGCCACTGTTACAAAAAGTGGCATGTTTATGCCAAAGCTGATCACTTTGAAATAGAGATTTGCCTGTGCCAGAATTCTTCTTTTGTGACAAGGATGGTGTTGTATTCTCCCAAGCTTCTGGACTATTTTCTTTTTAAACATGACACTATATTTTATATTTATTTGTATGGTTTTTCTTTTCCTTTTTCCCATTCTCTGAAATAAATAAAGAGAAATAACTCCAAGGAATTAATATTTTCAAGACTCTTCAAGTCTCTTACAGAAAGCAATTCAACTTTCTCCATTTAAATCAGTGGCAGAAATGTATTTATCTTGCATCAGATTATTCCCAAAACATGATTAGTTTCGTATTATTCAAAATGTGAAATAAATTCTGCTGAAATAAAACATTGGATATGGCCATTGGAACTGGTTTTGTTCAAAATGTCTCAACCAGAGGTTTTCTTTATTGAACTGCCACTGATAAGTTGCCCATTGGCTACCCCAACTGGCAGTTCTGGGATGAAAGAGAAAGAGTAAAAAGTGAACTAAGCTGGGGCAAAGCTAACCTATTCCAAAACCACCAGCAACTTACCATCTTGTGAATGGAATATAGCTCCTGTCTTCTGGTGCTGGAAATGTTATTTCTCACATCTTCATAAACAACGTCATATACGTCAATCATGGCGTTTTCCACCTACACAGATGACATTAGCATCACAATTTGTGAATGTCAATAATTTGGCAAAATAAATGTTGTTGGTATGCATTTGCATGTTTTTGTGCATGGGGACTGGATACACCATACTCGAATCCAAGGAAATTCACCCATCTCTCCTTATATTTGTAGCACCTTCCTTTTTTCATCTCCCTTAGATAAGGTAAGATAAGATAAGATAAGATAATTTTATTTCTATACCGCCCCTCTCCCAAAGGACTTGGGGCGGGGCACAGCCAAGTAAAAACACAATACAAACATCATAATTAAATTTAAAAATTATTAAAATTTTTACATTTGCAGCTGAAATTCGTTAAAAACCCAAAAATTTAAAAACTCCAAATTTAAAACTCCATTACACAGATAGCCCTGCCTGTCAGAAGAGCAGGGTCTTGAGGGCACAGCGAAAAACTTGGAGGCCAGAGATTGTGCATATTTCCGGGGGCAGTTCGTTCCAAAGGGCAGGGGCTCCCACAGAGAAGGCTCTTTCCCTGGGTGTCGCCAGCTGACATAATTTGGCCAATGGTACCCTGAGTGGTCCCTCTCTGTGGGAGCGAACGGGTCAGTGGGAGGCTATTAGGTTGCCACCTGCCCCTGCTCCCCTTGAATTTAAGAGCAGCAAATCCAACCCTATCCTTGATCTTTCCAGGGTTTGTCTTCTTGTACTTCCTCTTAGCCACCAAGCATTGCTGCTGTTGGCTTTGTCTTTTTCCTGTTCTTCCTACTCTGAAATACATTGCAACTTTTTCCATTGAGAAATATCCATTTCAAATTCTACATAAATATGAAAGTGGTGGTTCTGTGCCACATACAGTTTGCACACCGGATGTTTGCACAGCCATACTTGCATCCCAACGTAGTTTATTTCTCAGTTTTAGGCAACTATACCTTGTTTGTTTTCTCAAACTTAATGAATATGGGATTCAGTGGACAATTATATAACTAGCAATTCTGACAGCTTGATGAAATTTTGCGGGGGAGGGGGTATTATTTATGATCGCCCACACAGGGCTTATTTTCAAGATTATTGCCTTTTAAATATAGAAAGGCAATTAATAAAAAAAAAAGCACATGCACACTTTGCTAAAATAGCCTGGGATATGGAAAGTTTAGAATATTTTATGAGCTCGATGTTAGTTAGGGTTGGCTGATCGGTTGAACATTATTCAATAAAAAGTGCATTAAAACTGAGGAAAGGTCCAATAAAGGATTAATCAAAGGTAATTAAAATAAATGTATCTTTATTGACTTCAGTGAGATTTATTTTTTTTTGTTTTAAAGCAAATCCATTTTGTAGAGCTGTGCATGACATCACTCCAAAAAGAGTTTAAAAATATAGGGGAGGCTACTTTTTTACTGTATATATTTACTATATGTACTGTATACAAACCAATAGCAATAAACGAATTCTTTTTCTTGCACAGAACTGAACAACTAAAATATATGGATAAAACACTGTGTAAGATTCTATTGCCTAGTTTATCAGTTCATATCCCTGCATTATCCTCTCTCTCTATTTGCAGGAATTGTAAAGTGTCCCTATAAAAGGGCTTGCGAAGTACCTTTTAAAATGAATATCTAAATGTTGTGCAAATTTGTTCAATAGTTTGGTTTGTAAGTTGTTTTCTGCCGATTTTAAAATTATATTTAATTATGTGTGGTATATACCACTTTTCATTCAAAAAAGTAACGAAGTGGTTTACCTAAAAATATTTTCAGGTTCAATAAAATGTAACAGTATAGTGGAAACAATTAAAATGTAACTGAATAATTACTGGAGCGGCTAACCAAAGCTCAGATAGGAAATAAAAAACAAGCTGTTTTTTAAATTGTGGAAGTAAACTGATTATCGTGAAATCAAGTTTAACGTCTACATTTAAACTGACAACAACCTCCCCCTCCACCCACAACAACATTATAACTCAATATGCAACAAATGTTAGTAGCAAATTGTGTAACTTTTGTGGGAATGATCTGGGTGCTGAATATAAACATTCATTCATTCATCATCTGTCTGTCTGTCTGTCTGTCTGTCTGTCTGTCTGTCTGTCTGTCTGTCTATCTATCTATCTATCTATCTATCTATCTATCTATCTATCTATCTATCTATCTTGTATAGTTGACCATCTTAAAACCAAATTTGCAACCGATGAAAACAATATTTATTTATTTATTTATTTATTGGTTCGATTTATATGCCGCCCTTTTCCGGAGACTCAGGGTGGCTTCAGTGCATTAAGCAATAGCCTTCATACTTTTGTGTATACCTGCTTAGTAGGGCTTTTGGAGGCCCCCAAGCGGTGTTCTTTTTATACAAAGTCAGCTTATTGCCCCCACAATCCGGGTCCTCATTTTATCTACCTCGAAAGGATGGAAGGCTGAGTCAACCTTGAGCCTGGTGAGATTTGAACTTGCAGTAATTGCAGGCAGCTGGTGCTACTTTACAGTGCTTTAGTCTGCTGCGCCACCAAGGCTCTTTACAGCTATATTTACAGCTATAAATGCAAAAAGGACAACAAAACCCAAACCAGAAAAACCTGGCACCACAACCACCCTTCCTTGATGAACCCACAGCATTCTTATCCTGCTGTGACCTCATGCTATCCCAGTATTTGCGGAAACAGCGGGTTTTAAGTACTCTCCAGAAGCATAAAAGGCTGGGGGATTTACCAGATATTAAGGGAGAATGTGATCCATGAGGCAAGGACTGCAACATTTCCAAGGACTCCTGTGGTAGCAATGTTTAAGGGAAGAGACCTGGAGCATGTCTACCCTATCTTCTTTAGTGGAATGGGCAGATACCCTCAGAGAGATAATTTGGTCCTGTGCCATTGAGTACTTTAAAGGAGATAAACCTTGAATCGTACCCCAAAAGAAGCTTTTACACCCTGTTACAGCTCATGCAACAGGGTGCAAAAAAGGGGAACCTAGGAATGTCCAACATGAAACATTCTGGACCCGTGTAACTTTGAGTGGCTTCAAAGGCAACCCCAATTACAATGCATTGCAGTAATCCAAATGGTTTCCCAGTCCAGAAAAGGACACAATTGGGATGAATTAAGGAGTTCTTTAGTTCAGGTCTGCCAGTTCATATATTTTGGCCCTCCAAAAGGACCTGAAGACTTGGTTCTGCCAATTGGCTTAGGGTCTCAATGGGGCCGCATCATTCTCATGATTAATGGATTAGATAAGACCCTCCCTCCTTCCCATGTGCATCTTGTTCCCGTTCTTACAATCTTCGTCAATTTTAAATTAATTTAATGTTATTATTTAATGTTTTTTAATGGTTTCTAATGATTGTAAGCTGCCTAGCATCACTTCCGGGCGACATGGGCAGTATAAAGTACAAGTTGAATAAATAAATGTATTCTTGAATGTTAATTTATAGTAAACACTTGTTGGAGGACATTCAGATTTCTTTGAAAAACAAAGTAAATCCTGAAATTGTTTCGTTCTGTTCTGTTTTAGCTGAATATAATTTCAAAACTACTGTCTTCCAAATTATACTTTGTGTGGCATAACGGAAGTACTTAATTTCTAAGGTAGCTAAATGAGAAGTACACAAATCAGTGTCCCTTGACTACAAGGATGAGAAGTGAAAGACAGAAAGTTCTCTTTCAATTGCTTTCAATTACATGTGCGATTTTGGTACATTATTTATTATGTAGTCTGCATTATTTATATTTCTTTGATTTCTCCTGAAGTAACATCCCAAAGGCGGAAGGGAGTCAATGGTGCATTGAGCAAAACTCTGGATGAAAAAGGTTTGTGCAGTAATAAATGTGCTAAAATGGCAAACCTTTCTTTGTTTTGTTGCAGCAAATTAATACCACATTTATTCTGGAAATTCTTTTAGAATACTTTTATCCTTAAGGATGTTATATGACAGTTGCATAGATGGTTTAAAAGTTAAGTGTTCATAATTAATTTAAAATAAAGTTTTCCTTTTAGGCGCAATTTCCTGGATCAACACTCAGTAGAATGCCTCTTGATTTTATGAAAATACGCATGGGATTGCTTGGAACTTTGGTTCCATTAAAGTAATTAATTAGTTTTCAGAAAATGTATTTGTCAGAATTTTAAAAGAAAAAAAAATAGTACACAAAATTACCCTCTCACATATTCTGTATGAATACTGTACCCTTTCCTTATTCTTTTCTGCAGTTCTATTAAATGTATACTGTATACGCAATAATTTTAAAAGCTTCATCTATTGTTATATTTACAGAACTATTCCCTTGCTACTGATTTTCATTCCATGGACCAAAAGTGCAGTCCTATATTCTGAATTCAATGGGGTATCATGATGATATCCCTTCCTTAGTAAAGGAACGCAGATGAAGAAGATAGGAAATTGGTTCACATTGAATCAGACCATTCATTTCTCTAGTGCTGCATTGGCAGCACTGACTAGCAATCATTCTCCAATCTTTCAGCAGAGGTTTATCCGGTTCTAGTTGACAAAGTCAAAGACTGCACCTTGGCTCTTCTGCATGAAATTGCAAGATCAGTGTTTTTCAACTTTAAGATATGTGGACTTCAACTGCCAGAATTCAGCAGCCAGTATTGATGTCCTCAAACCTTAAAGTTGCTAAACAATAGCACTTAGACTTATATATTGCTTCACAGTGCTTTACAACCCTCTCTAAGGGGTTTACAGAGTCAGCATATTTCCCCCAACAATGGGAAGGATGGAAGGCTGTGTCAACCTTGAGTCTGGTGAAAATCGAACTGCCAAACTGCAGCCAGCAGTCAGCAGAAGTCGCCTGCCAGTACTGCATTCTAACCACTGTGCCACCACAGCTCTTAAGCAGTGGTGGGATGCTACCGGTAGCAGTGGCGGGAGGCTCTGCCCATCCGCCCGGACACTTCTGCGCATGCACAGAAGCTTCACACGTGCGCACGAGCGCGCATCCGTCCATGAGCAAACTAATAGCGACAGGTTTTGAAACCTGTCCCTGCTCTTAAGGTTAAGAAACAATGTGCTAGGCCATACAGCTATATACAGCCAGTCTTCGACTTATAACAGCTCACTTAATGACCATTTGAAGTGACAACAGCACTGAAAAAAGTGACTTATAACCATTTTTTACAGGTATGACTGTTGCAGCATCCCCATGATCATGTGATTTACCTTTGGATGCTTGACAACTGACTCACATTTATGACAGTTGCAGTGTCATAAATGTGAACACCTTTTGCAACCTTCTGACAAGCAAAGTCAATGAGGAAACCCAGATCTACTTCACAAGTGTGAAGTGATTTAACAACTGCAGTGATTCGCTTAACAATTGTGGCAAGAAAAGTTGTAAAATGGGGCAAAACACACTTTTTCCATTCCCCCCCCCCATTTTATTTGATTTATATACCGCCTACTCCCGAAGAACTCAGAGCGAACAGCCACAAGATAAAACACATAAATACAAAATTTAAAAGCAATGTAAAGCCGAATTAAATAATTTGGCCCAAGACAGATTTAAAACACCCCAATAATTTAAAACAGATTAAAATTTACATTTTAAAAAGGAAAAAAAAGGGAAAAGATTAGGCCAGGCCAGCCTGATGGAATAAAAAGGTCTTAAGAGCGTGGTGGAAGGTGCGCAGATCCGAGATCCTCCGTATCTCTCGGGGGAGCTCATTCCAGATAGTAGGTGCCCCCAAAGAGAAGGCTCTCCCTCTGAGGGCCGCCAGTCAACACTGTTTGGCCGACGGCACTTAACAAATGTCTCACTTAGCAACAGTAAATTTGCTCAGTTGTGGTCATAAGTTAAGGACTACTTGTAGTCTACAGCTTAATTCATCAGGGCTGCTTAAGTTAACATAATGTTTGTAATGTTTTTTTCTTTGGCCAACTGGGATGTTGGTTTGTTTTGTTAATAATTTTTTTGTTATCACCAGTAAGTTCTGTTTGAGAATGAAAGATGCTACATAATGTAATCTATTCCACTCTACAATGTATTGAAATCAAGGCACCACAACTTTGGTTGCTCAAGGACCGGTGGCAAACCTTGCACTGTGCACAAAGGGCCATATTCTATCAATTGGTGGAGCTAACATCTATTTTCTCCCAGACAATTAATATTTTTTTAAAAAATCAGTTTTAAAGCCTTTCTGACTTTGAAGGCTGGATGTTGGGGGAAGCATGGGATGCAATATTTTTTTGTATCTCTTATGTAGGTAATGACAAGAGGCGCTTTTATATTAAGAGTACACATAATTAAAACCTCAGCTAAGAGTTCCAAAAGAACACCACACATTAACATCTATGAAAGATGGTTATTAGCTAGAATGGCAGATTGCCTCTTTCCTTGGCTTTAAAAGAGCAATGCCATGTGTTTTTAAAATACAGCAACTCATGTGTTTTCAGTCTGGACTGTCATTGGAATCAAATCCAATTGTTTCACAGTGCAAGTCTTCCAGTAGTCGTACAACAAATGAGCAATGGCAGACAATCCTCAAAAGCATATATCAAGTCAGATTTCTCCAACCTGGTGTCAGTCAGACACAGCAAACTAAAATCCTATTCTGGGGGCCTTTTAATATAGTAAACTGGATGGGTTTATATCAGCTCTGCTCTCTCATCAAAATACTGCATGCCAAGGCAGCTCACAAAATATTCTTTTGTCATCAATACTATGCTGATGAATGAAAAGAACAACCTCTGAAGAATCTCATGCCACATGGCTCACTTCCCTAAGCAAAGTAATCTAAACTAACTGCAGGCTCTTATACCATATACACATTTGCATTTCACAGCCATAATTTCTAGTTTGGATAGTAGGGAAAGCTGTGTATCTCAACCTTGGCCAGGTATGGCTGGCTGGGGAATTCTGGGAGTTGAAGACCACACAATTTCAAGCGGTCAAGGTTGAGAAACGCTGGTCTAAAGGATTGGGTGCTGGAGTGAAAGATCCAGACTGAGATTTTCTTTCCTTTACAGCTATAGCGAGACTTTTCTCAAGAATCGTTGAATTTGTATGTAGCTATCCCTTTGATAATTTTTTCAGTTGTTAAGGGATAGCTTCTTCATTAGATCAGTTTGCTTACTGGATCTAATGTCCCAGGGTCATATGATCCCCTTTTGCAACCTTCTGACAAGCAAAGTCAACGAGGGACCCAGATTCACTTAACAACCGTGTTACTCAACAACTGCAGTGATTCAGTTAACAACCGTGGCAAGAAAAGTTGTAAAAGGGGGCAAAACTTACTTTAAAAATGTCTCGCTTAGCAACAAAAATTTGGGACCCAATTGTGGTCATATCTCAAGGCCTACTTGTAGTTTCTGTCCTTTCTGGCTTTGCTCCAAATCTTTCCAATTCTAGAACTCTTTCCATGTAGAAACACTTTCACAGAAGTATGATTTCTCATTCCCTAAATCTTAGAAACATTTTTGAGCTATCATGAAAGTATCCTTATCACTCCTGGCCTCACAATTCAGAGAACCTTTCCTGAGGTGACCAGCACTCCCTCAACTAGCCAAACCAGGAACAGCATAAAAAACCTGAGGAGAATTGCTGTATAACTGCCCTTTCTCTTCATTCCTATGATTTATATTCTGCCTTTTCACATAACAATCCTACTGAAGCCATGCACAATTCAGAAAATTAGCCTTACAATTATCCTTATAAGCTCCAGTGAAATATTCCTATGGGATAATACCATGCAGCAGATCTCAGAAGCATGTTTATTTGAGAATTATCGAATTTGTAGACTTTGCTGCAGAGACTTGGAAACGAACAAAAAGGGCTCGAAGATACTTGAGAGGTTTGAAATGTTTTATGGCTCTAAGTTTACATGAATGAAACTCTTGTAATTAGTATATCTGAAAGTGCGGAACAATTTTGGCAGTTGATGTGTGGTGCAATATTTAACTATTTATCTTTTCGTTTTGTTCACTTACCACAGTACTGTTGGTGACAGTCCAATATGTGGCTATTCCCGAAGCACAGAAAACCATAGTAAAACAGAAGAAACACTACAATAAAAAAAGGACATCAAAATAATTCCTTAGTAAGTGCTGCCATTGCTACTTCAAGTACCTTATCGAGTGCATGTATACTTTTAACATACAAATTTTAAGAAATAGAAAGGTTGTTCTTCACAGCCATAACAGAACAAAAATCTACTTACTGATAAAAGACAGTATTTCTTCTATTTCCTTCAATTAATTTCAAACCTAGCATATTTAATTGATTTAAATTGAAAGACACGGAGACATAATTTTTCTTCTAAGAGCAAATGGATTTGCCTGCCTGCCTGTGAGTGAGTGGGTGTATTTTGAGAGCAAGTATTGTTTTGTCTTGAGGTTTCCCTTGTTCTTTTGTTAGGCTGGGCTTGGGCCAAAAGAGAGTGATTAGCTCAGTCACCCAAAAAACCTCCATGGCTGGAGAGGAACTTGAATCTGGATCTTCTTTGGTGTCAGAAAGTCAAAACTTTGCACCGGTCTTCAGTTTTTTTTCTTTTCTCTATTTTTTATACATTAAAGCAAACAGAAATCTGATAACATAAAAGGAATGTGAGCAACACATGATTAGAAGGACATATATTACTTTTAAAAAAATTTTTCTTAGATGTTCATGTATTTGAACAAAAACGACAAAAATGACAGTAAAAGTGACACTGAATTCAAGTTTTAATCAGCTAATGCTTTCAGTTAAATGAAGTGCAGCGGTTATAGCTTTCGGCCCCACAAATCATTTCTAGCCATGTTCTTCCTAGGTGCTTTCCTATATATTTCTTCCTCAGAACAATCTTCATTTTTTATTTCAGTATTTTTGTGCAGGACTCCATTTCAGTGGGTTAGGTCATGATTTTCTGAATAAAAGAAAGCAGTCACTTTAGTTTCTTGTGATGTACTTGGTTAGTATAATAGATTGGCAAAATAAAAATGAACAAAATTGCGGAATCGATTGAAGGAAAAGCAGGGCAGTTTATTGAATAAATATGAAATTATTATCTCTGTGTAGGAAACCCAACAGAGCAAAATCCTGCAGACTGCCAAGCTCTTAAAAATCCTTTTCAGAACTTGGCCAGTTTGTTCAGACCAGATTTTGTTTATACAATCATGTCCATGCATGCAAAAAAGGAAATGCTTATTTAAAAAAATGTCTGATTTAAATTTCCATGATAACCAGCTGGAGTCATGAATTGTGAGATCACAGAGATGAAGCAATCTACTATTCAACAAACTTACGTGCGTTACATTGCCAGAATACATTTCAAAATCCCTTTTTCAGCAATATCTTTGTTAAAGCAATGTAAGCATCACAAAAACAAACATGGAAACTTTTTGCGATTTGTAGTTCTCTTATTTAAACTATAAAATCAGATGGTAATCTGGAAATCTGACTTGGAATTTTTCTGAATAAATACTCATTACATCCTTGGGTGGACATATTGCAGGTACCTCCCCTTTAAGAGATTTGGGGCTATGTGAGAAATGAGCCTTTTTTCTCCCCTGATATCCTTTGGACAATCTCTTATCAAAAATCCAGAAAACACTTTTTCTCCTGAACTTCAGGAAGACTTTGATAATAGGGCTACTCAGAAATACAAACAGTTGCTGACTTCTAGTCATTGGATGCCTATTTCAGTGGTGGGTTCCTCCCAGTTCTGTCCTGTTCGGCCGAGCCGGTAGCAGTGATGATATGACGTCACCGAACCAGTTCTCCCACCCCCGCCCCCCCACCCCCGCACTCCCCCACCCCCCCACGTTATTCTTACCTTTTATTTGGTCCCACCCCCAATCTATTGCTGCCTCCTGAGTCCCAGCTGATGACTAGAGGGAAAAAAACTGTTTAAACTCTTGCCGCGGGGCTTCAAAGGGCCGTCCTACAGCTGATCAGTCTTAAAAGCAAACAAATGAGTTGGGTCGTAAGTGCGAGGACTTGGTCGTGAGTGCGAGGACCTTCCAGAAATGACTCTGACCAGCTAGCCACGCCCACCTAGTCACATGACCTCCAAGCCACACCCACAAAATAAGCCATGCCCACAGAACCGGTAGTAAAAAAATTTAGAACCCACCCCTGGCCTATTTATATTAATTTTATTAAAGGTAAATGTTCCCCTCGCACATATGAACTAGTCGTTCCTGACTCTAGGGGGTGGTGCTCATCTCCGTTTCAAAGCCGAAGAGCCAGCGCTGTCCGAAGATGTCTCCGTGATCATGTGGCTGGCATGACTAAACGCCAAAGGTGCACAGAATACTGTTATCTTCCCACCAAAAGTGGTCCCTATTTTTCTACTTGCATTTTTTATGTGCTTTCGAACTGCTAGGTTGGCAGAATCTGGGACAAGTAATGGGAGCTTACCCCGTTACGCAGCACCAAGGATTCGAACCACTGAACTGCCAACCTTTCGATCAACAATCTCAGTGTCTTAGCCACTGAGCCACCATGTCCCTTTTATTAATTTTATTACTGATGTGTAAATCTATTGGGCTTGATTAATTACGCAGGATCCAATCTGGGTTGATCATTGGGACCAGAGGTTTGATCCTCCAAGCTTTCAGACTTGTGCTGGAGCCCATCCTCAGGGAACTTCTCTTTTAACTGAATGTGACAAAGCATGAGTCTGAAAATTTAGAGGACTAAATCTCTGGTCCTGGTGACCAACCCAGATTGGATCCTGGGATATGTATATTTGCCTTTATTCATTGATTAATTATGTTGATTTATTTGAATTGTAGTGACATGTTTTGATTTTTATTGTGGATTGCCATGAGTCTTTTGGAAGTACATTGACATAAAGTTAGTAAGTAAATACATCAATTCATCAGTCCCGGACGTGATTTATTAATCTTAAATATATACACAGTCTGCCTGACATGGCCTCAAACCATCTTGATGCATGTCTAACTCATTAGAGTTCATGAGCTGTGTCCCCCAACCTCTGCCAGTTTTAACTGTATTTTGTTTGGAAGGATGTTCTGCTTTCATTGTATTATTGCACAAAAGCATTGATAGCTATATTTATTAAACAAATTTATACAGCCACCCGCTCAGTTTTTGTACCACTCACTTTCAACTGGACTGAGCCAAACTGAGTCATCTTCAAAACTCAGAAATGAGTTTCCAAACCAAATATTATCATGCTGATCACTACTCTACTGACATAAAACTGTTGATGTTGCTAGGAAAGCTATTGGTTCCAGGTACTGTACATGCATATTAATCTCGCCTGAATCATATAAAGTAATACATTCAGTATATGGATCTTTTGCAGGTGATTAGTTTTTCTTTGCAACATAAAGCAAACACTTTCAGCATGCATACTAAGTCAGCTAAACCAAGATGTTTACCTTTTCTTTTGCAAGAAGCTTTTACTTTTCATAATTACTGGTCCTCAGACTTGTTACAAAATCACCACTAATTAATCCCTTGACAGGAAAAAATAAGTCCCAAGCACAGTTTGATTCTACCTATACTGCAGCTCATTAGGCCAGTATGTTGTTCTTTACTTTTTTATAATAACTGGAATATATGTAATATTGTTCCATTCACTTCCTTGAAATAAATTAGCCCACTGATTCCTGTATAAAGCTGACATATAAAAAGTAGCATTAAGATAAGTTGTCATTGCCTACTTTGTGAGACTAAGAAGTACATTTATTTGCAACTCAGTCTTTATTACATGAGCTTTAATGTTTCCTTTTGAATTACGTAGGTAGCCATTTTTCAAAAACGGATACACAAGAATTATAATATACAGTCCAATATCTAAGATGACTTGCAGAAAAATAAATATCAATGCATGATAAGAATGCCTCAATCCAACCAGAACCTGTTGCTGTTGCTATGGAAGGATTTAATATTGGTATAAGTAAAGAATCATAGGATTGGAAAAGGCCATTTCGGTCATCAAGCTGAACCATCTGCTCAATGCAGGAATCCACATTAAAACATTTCATAAAAATTATTGTTTAGGTGTTGCTTAAATGTAGAAATTCAATCAGTTTCTCCTGAATTGGAAAATCAGGCTCTACACTTCTTAAGAGTAGTCAGACAGTAACAGAGAGGGCACAGAAGGACTGGAAGCAAAAGATGCGAGAAATCTCTTCTATTTTTTAAAAAAATTAGAAATTATTATTATTTAAAGGACAAAATTGAATACATTGCAAATCCATACGATTCAATCGTTTCCCAAATGACAGCTTTCACAGAGCAGCTGTTATTTTGATGTACTTTCAAATACAAGACAATCTTGCCCCGTCTGTAACCTCCTGATAAGGTCCCCGCAGAGTTAGACTTGTGCGGAATAGTTCAGAAGTACTAATAGTCTTAATTAAAAATAGTCTTAAAAATAGTAGTATCATGTTTCCCCGAAAATAAGACCCTGTCTTATATTTTTTTGAACCCTGAAATAAGCGCTTAGACTTATTTTCAGGGAGGTCTTATTATTTTGGGGCACGTGGAACAAGATGGGGCTCCTCTTGCCGTCTTACCTGATTTCCAGCTCTGTGCTTAAATATTTTTGGGGAGGGCTTATTTTCAGGGGGAGGCTTATTTTAGCGCATGCGCTCAAAAGCCCAATTGGGCTTATTATCAAGGGGTGTCTTATTTGGGGAAAACAGGGTAATTAGCTGTTTCTTGGCAACAGGCCTTCCATAAATCCAAGATCATAATAGTGAATTCTGATTCTTTGGCTTTGTAACAAAGCAAGGGAATGATGCCTTCTTTGGTTATGCTAAACATATTCATAATAGATGCTTTTTAGAATGAAGCTGTTAGGAGGAACTGGAAGTGCTCTACCAAACCTTAAGGATTCTAACATGAATTGCTAGAGGAAGTTTGCCAATGTGTTTCCTCTAGATTTAGGAAATGGTTAATTCCTAGCAACCTAAGAATGAATGTGTCAGTACTGTACACTGCATATACCTTCTGGCTGGTAGGATGCAGGCAAGCATATATATCAACTTGCAAAATCAGAGATCCTAACTTGCACAGAATAAAGTAGTCAAGTTTGGGGTACATTTGGGTTTTGGTTGTGCTGATGGCATACCGGACAAAATGTGCCAAACCAAACTGGATGTGGCATGGTTATGACTTGGACAAGTAACCCCATCCTCTCTCACACACACATACTAAAAATAAAACAAAAATAAATAATCAATAGCAGCATGAATTCCTTCATTATTACATACCTCTGAATTTGTGAGCAAATCTAATGCAGTATATGGGGAGGGGGAAATCTTCCCTCAATTTATTCATTATTTATTTATTGGTTTGATTTATATGCCGCCCTTTTCCGGAGACTCAGGGCGGCTTACAATGCATTAAGCAATAGCCTTCATATTTTTGTATATACCTTCTTAATAGGGCTTTCGCCCCCCCCAAGCGGTGTTCTTTTTTATACAAAGTCAGCTTATTGCCCCCACAAACCAGGTCCTCTTTTTACCTACCTCGAAAGGATGGAAGGCTGAGTCAACCTTGAGCCTGGTGAGATTTGAACTTGCAGTAATTGCAGGCAGCTGATGTTACTTAACAGTGCTTTATTCTGCTGCGCTGCCAAGGCTCAATATAGATAATCCTCTCAAAAGGATTGTTTCACCTTGTAATTTGGTGTGACCCAGAACCATATATCAATGTCATGGCAAGTCTAGACAATAAGACTAGTAACAACAGGGAATGAAATGTTTGGGATGACAGAGATACTGAAAATTATTGAGGTATACTAAATCTTCTCTGGCCTGTTGCACATGCTTGCGTGAATTATTTATAGAGTATTGAAATAATAGGGCAGAGCTTCGATTTATGTGCTTTGAAAGAAGGGCATCCATGTGCCAATAGCATGGCCTAATTGATCTTGAACATAAAGCTGCTATCAGGTTAGCATTGTGTGAAAATGTATAGCAAGCATTTCTCGTGTTATCTAACGTCACTGGTAACACATCTATCAGACACATTGCTTGTGATAATGCTATATTTATAAAGGGCATTGATCTTTCCCCGTCTACACACACACACAAACACAGCCAGCCGAGGGTTAAGAAAGTACTTGGCACGCACACAGGTCGTTATCTCAAACTTGGCAACAATATAAGCACCGTCTGCCAAGAGCTTTACTGCAACAGATAACATAAAATTACATACGCATTGCAAATAGTCCAGCAAAACAATATCCCTTCGGCAGCTTCAGACGTTGTTCAAGTGACTAGCCAGAGTTAGTTTTTGTTCGTCACAGAGTTTTACCAGCCACCACCCTCTCTTATATAGTCTCTGGGGTGTGGTCCAGTGACTCAGTTCTAATCCCTAGCACGCCTCCTTAACTGCTGCAACCGTTTATCACGCCGTCGTTGGCGTGCATCCGAGAACGACAGCTCTCCTTCCTCGCTCTCATCCAAGACACCTGGCTCCTGGCTAATCTCCTCTCCCTCGGCCGGCACCTGAGACAGTGCCAGAGGGGAGGGGTCTGGAGAGGGAGGCCTGGCTGACTCCTCTCCCTCATGTTCGGAGCCTTCTTCCTCCGATGAGATAGGCTCAGAGGGCGGGGCCACAACAGGCATGATTAGTTTAGAGTGTAATGGAAATAATAATAATATGTATGTGGATTTGATTAGAGAAACTGAAGAATTTGCTTCAGGAAATCCAGGCAAATTCTAAAACCAATTCTGAAACAGAATAGGAGATTATTTATTTAACTTGAATGAATGAACCGTGGTGACGCAGTGGTTAGAATGCAGTTCTACAGGCTAACTCACTGCTCACTCCAGGAATTCAATTCTGACTGGCTCAACCCCTCCATCCTTCCAAGGTCGGTAAAATGAGGACTCAGATTGTTGGGGGCAATATACTGACTCTGTAAACCAATTAGGGAGGGCTGTAAAGCACTATGAAGTGGTAAATAAGTCTAATTGAGCCGAGGTGGCGCAGTGGTTAGGGTGCAGTACTGCAGCTACTTCAGCTGACTGCTAGTTCAGCAGATCAGCGGATCAAATCTCACCGGCTCAAGGTTGACTCAGCCTTCCATCCTTCCGAGGTGGGTAAAATGAGGACCCAGATTGTTAGGGGGCAATATGCTATTTAGTATACTGTCTTTGGTATAAGCCGCCCAGAGTCCTCAGAGAGTGGGCGGCATAGAAATATGACTAATAAAATAAAAATAAAATAAATAAGTGCTATTGCTATTTATTGAAGAACCATCTTTACATTGAACCAAGTCTCAGAAATATAATTTATTGCCTTATAGAAATATAATTTATCATTACATACTGTAAAACATTATTGTAAGCAAAGCATAAGCTAAGAGGAAGCCATTTTTAGTATCCAGTTTGTAAATTTCTAATAACATACGAAGTTAGATAAGATTTTGTTTTAGGTAATATAGATTTGGAACAGTGAGGGGAAAAAATCCTTCCCATGTTAATTTGGTTATGTCTTTCAGTTGCATGACATTGATTTTAACATATATTTTCATGTACATTATTTTCTATGCAATAGAGATTGTACAAGATATCACACACAGGCACTTTCCAACATATCTTGATATCTATAATAATTTCCAGAAAGTATCCCAAGATGGAATCACTTAGGATCTTCCTTGAAAGTTATTCCCACTTTAAATACAGGTATATTTCAAAAATAGTTTTTAGAAAAATCTAACTGACGTTTATATTATTCAACAACAGAGCCTACTTACAGCTGCCATAGCACCTTCCAGTTCTTTTATTGTGGCAACAATGCTCATCAAAGCAGCCATAGCCAGAATGATGCTCAGACACATCCCAATGTAGGAAACTGAAATGAAGTTAATACAGAAAAAGGTATACAAAACTCTGTATATTAAGGTCTCTTCTGATAACTATCCTGCAGCATCAGAGTAAGTAAAGTAAAAATATATGGACATGCCCATGTTCTTTTTTTCTTGGCAAGAATATTGTTAAGATCCTCTGACTGGGACTTGGTCACTGATCTCCGCTTGACTCCTTAGCTGGACTTGGTAAAAGACTCATAGATATGGATTGGCCAGATTAGAATCTTTATGGTAGCCAAGAATTAAGACATATCCAAGAGGTGATTGGCTGTCAGTAGTAAAAGGATGTAAATGACTTTCATAATCTTGGGGATGAAATTATTGCCTTCTTCCTTTCTGAGTTCATGGGTTTTTAAGTGGCATTTGGGAGCCTTGACACTGAATGATGATATTATGTCTTTGTAACAGCTATATCGCTGATCTGGGTCCTACTTCAAGTGTGAAGAAATAGAGGAGATTTGCCACTGTTTTTTTCTTTTACTTTCCAGTCTAATCTACAGACCTACAACTTCCTGATACCAGTGTCTCCCATTCTAGAACTAAGCAAATCTGACATAACTGTGTTTTTGAGATCAACCAAGTTCAGCCAGATATTCATATTTGTTTAAATGTCTTTGTAATAACCAATGCTAATTTGCAGCTAGCAACCTTTGTATCTTGGTTTCACACATTAATTCCCAAGATAACTGAGTTGAATTCTACTAGTAAATAGAAGTATTATATGGATACATCTTGCTTTTCTTTCCAAGCTAGCCACTCAGTGGCTCTCATAATAAAGTTCCAGCATGTGAGAAATAAGGCTACTGATGAAATTTTTTAAGATTGATTTTCTAGTGTTGTGGGAAATTGGTGTTATGCAATCCGTTCTTTAACAGAGGAGAACCCTGAACACTAAACATCCATCAAGATACATGGAACACTTGATCTTCATTTTGGAAATTGGGATTTTCTCCATTCTCTCTGCAGGTGGACGATTGAGTTCTCAGGTCTACATTCTATTTTGTTTTATTTTCTGTGCTTAGTGCCCTTGTTACTATAATTAGGAGGTTGGACTGGATGGGGAAAAGGGCCCTCTTGACTCAATATGATTCTGTAGACTGATGATGATGATGATGATGATGATGATGATGATGATGATCCATTCAGCCCTATCTGACTCTTGGCGATTCTATGGGCCAGGTTTCTCTGTGTCTTCTGATCTTGCACTACTTCTTTGCGTTGTTCTATGCTCTGGCTAAATCATTACAAATTCCTATTGATCTTTTAATTATTTAAATTCAGTTTTAAAATTCAGTTACATACAAGTATTCTATCTTGAAAATTATCTCTTCTTAGAGCTGTCATGTATTTTAGGAATTCTCACCATATGTATTTACTGAATTCATATCTTACTTTTCCTCTTGAGGCAGTATATGAGAAAATCAACTTAATTTTATAATCTATAATAACTTCTCTATAAGCTAAGTTTGGATTGAGAGAGTATAGTGAACCGAGAGAAACTCTGTGTGTTTTGAAGTTGAGGGAGTATTTGGAATGTGGGCCTCCCCCGTCAAAGTTAACATCTTAACTAACTCCACCAATTAAATTTATCATTTGTTCATCAATCAAGAAATTTATTAGCTGATCAATATAAGATTAAACCAATTGAAGCCAGAACCTAATTGAAATAAATTATATATATATATTCCATATAAGGAATGTAAATCATAGAAATTTAGATCATGATCAATCTTTAAAACAAACAAATGCCAAATAGAACAAAACTCCTATCTTATCAGTGAAATAAAGTACTTTTAATTTTGTACTCCAGTATTAGAGACTGAATCTTGAATATCCCAATACTTACCAATAGTATGGAAATTTCTGTAATAGGAGTTTGTCTCTGAAGAGGCAGAATTTATAACAATGAAGTGTTTCCCACTGTGGGTGATGATGGCCAGTACGCCAACTGATACTCCAAGTAGCTAAGAAGAGAAAAGAGGCATGTTTATAAAGTTGGAATGAGGACTAGAAAAAGCCAAGCTCAAGTTAATATTTATCATGACATACTTAATTAAATAATGAAAAACATGGATATAACTGTTTGGATTTTATTACCTATATAGGCTGGCGGGAAGAGGCAAGTAAGACTAAGTTGGGATCAGCATATCAAAGGTACAGAATTACAGATAACCACCATAGAGCAGCAAAGAGATACAGAAAGTTCATTGCTGCCATCTAGTGGTCATTTGCAAGTTTGTAGTCCTGAGCTATAGAATTCTAGAGAATTTTAGCAATTCTTCCCCTATTGATCCCAATCAAAAACAAAACAAAACAAAACAAAACAAAACAAAACAAAACAAAACAAAACAAAACAAAACAAAACAAACCCAGGAAATATAAAAAGTGCCAGTTCGGCATTGGCTCATCAATTCTCAAGCAAAATACAGCCTCCTTACTTATACGTAGTTAATTCAGAATATGAGTTTGGCTACTTGCCTCTTTCTTAATCTGTCACAATGGAACTGGGCAGAAAAAGTTATTCACTGTGATTCACAAGTATTTCCACCCTCCGCTTAAAAGATAATAAGGATGAGCAAAGTTTATCTCTGTCCCTAACAAAGTAGTCGAACAAGATGGGGGGGGGAAATCAACACACAATTCAGAAAAGATAACACAATCCTTTGCCCAGCTCAATAAACTACAGGTAGTCTTCAATTAACAGTGGCAATTGGGTTCAGATCTGCCATTGCTAACCAACATGATCATAATGCACGGCCTCACACTTAGCACTCTGGCACTCCTGATTGCAGTGGTTAAGCAAATCATGACAGGTTGTTAAACAGGACCTCACATTATCATCATTTGTGACCTCCTGCGGTTCCCCTATTGACTTTTGACCAGCAAAAAAAATGTTGCAAATGGCACCCACATGATTGTAGGATGCTGCAAAGTCATAATTGCAAGCTGGGCTCCAAGTACTTGGATCATGAACATATGACCTGGGGACATGGCAATAGCCAAACTCTAAGGACCAGTCATATCACTTGTTCAGCATTGTCCCAAGTTTGAATGGTTACTAAATCAATGATTGTTAACTGAGGCTACCTGTAAGCACATTGGTACCTGAGCTGAACTGATTAAGTGTGATTTGGTTCCAGGTGTTTAGATTCTGCTACTAGTTTTTGATTCCAATAAAATAGATAATTCTATCTGTTGGCTTGCAGGAGTGCTGCTGCTGCTTCTGAAATATTCTGATGAGAAGGGAATAAACAGGACATGCTTACTTTTATTTCATGAGATATTCAGGATTATGGACTGGGAGAAATTTGCCTCGGGGAATATTTGAGGGGGAGTTTTTTAATAGGGCTGTAAAGAACTTTCCAATTTGCTTCCAAGACTGAATCCAGAAGTTTCCAACTTTTTTTTTGCACTTCACAGTATGGGAAGGAATATATAGAAAAGCAAGATTATCACAAGGAGATGAAGTCTTTAGAGAAAGAAGTTACTAAGACTAGCTATTTCAAGGGGCAAATTTCCAGGACAAAAAGCTAGTCCCTTCACTGAGTCTTTCAGTTCTGGCATGTAGACACCCTTGGAAACAAAGCATTGAGCTTTGTCCACCTTTTATTCTCATTTTCTAAGAATGCCTGTGAGAACTCAATGTCACTCACGTCAAGGGGTCCCTCGCCTGGCCCCTCCTCTCCCAGCCATTCCTTGTCACACACAGCCTCAGCGTATCTATAGTTCTGTAAAAATGTTGTTCACATTTTTTCAACTTTATTATCTACATACTATAGATGTACTTTCATGGACCACTGAAAGGAGGAAATGGCTCACATGCTTTGCCCAAGAGTGTGATAGGCAACATGTTTTTAAGGGGCTGCCAGAAAGAATGTATAGGCAACGTATTTTCCAAAGCACCAGAAGGCAAAACAAGAAGCAATGGATGGAAACTGAACAAAAAGAGAAGTTAAGTTTTCTCCTAAAACTAAGGAGAAACTCCCTGACAGTGAGAACCAATATAGGTGCAGAAATATTTCAGTCATAATTTCATATATAAAATAGCCATTCATGCATATTGTTCAAAACAGTAATTAATATTAGGGCTGATGTTTGACAGCAAGCGTAAAAGTCAAAGATCACAAGAGTGCTTCTTTCTCTGTATGTATACAAAACATCATATACCAGGAATAGCATATTAAGATGGACTTATGCAACCTGATGTACAAAATAAACACACACATATTTATGCCCTGGACTATAGACATTGAATGCATGTAAATCCCTGAAAAATATGTGGTAGCCCTGGGCAAAAGAAAGGCAGTAAAATCATTCTAGGTGTAGGGACAGTGTAAAATATTAACACATGATAATAATGGAACAATTAAAAATAATAGCACAGAGTTTTTTTTCTCTCTCTCTCTCCCTTCCTTCCTTCCTCTTTCTTTCTCTCTTTCTCTCTCTTTCTCTGTCTTTTTGGGGGGAGGGTGTTTGTGGCTATGACAACTACTTTCAAAATTGTTACTGGATATTTCCTTTTACATGAAACTGCTAAAAGGCTTTTGCAGTCATATAATGCAACAAAACATTTTTAATGGTAAAAGTAAACTGATATATGAAGCTACTTCTAAATAACTGTGTAGGAGAGGAATAAATCTTTTTCTGAAAATTACTTGGCGCAATTACACAAAATTAGAGCTGTAATGTGTGGTAATATTATTTATAATAGAATTTTGGTGGAGGAAATAGAGTAGCAAAGAGATTGACACATTGAGAACTACATGAAAGGAACACAAAAGTGCTAAAGTCACTGTATATGAGTTGGGTAGCTATATAAATTTGTTTAATAAATACAATGGGAAAGGTCTTTGGGGATTCCAGAATTTACATGGCACTAATTGGATTTTTGAACTCCCTTTTATTGTGAGACATAATGGACTAGTTTTACACTGTAACTAAATTACACAAGAGAATGTAGTATATATATCAAAAATAATTCAAAAACAATTTAATCTGATACATTGGGTTAAGTGATGTAGGGCTTGATCTAATTTCAGGCAAGTTCAAGCCTCTGTTAAGAGATACCTGCATTCTCTCTCTCCCTTCCTTTTTCTTTTTTTCTTTTTCTTTCTCTTTCTTTGTCTCTTTCTTTCTTCTATCTTTCTCATTCTTTCTTTCTCCCTCCCTCCCTTTCTCCTTTCTCCCTTTCTGTGAAGAACCCCAGAAGGCCTTTGGTAGGAGGAAGAAAAGCCAGACGTTTTGAAACTCAGAACATGCCCATTGATAATGTGGCATTCTTAGAGCTCCGCTATTGATTAGCTTAGCCTGAGCAAGGATAGCTAGCAGCCAATTACAATAAGCTCTCAACTCAAGCTCAGTGCATATGGGGATCCCCAAACAGTGAGGATGAAGTGTGAGTAAAAGGGTTTACCCTTCCCTCCCTCCCTCCCTCCCCCCCTCTCTCTTTCTTTATCCCTCGCTTTCTCCCTTCCTGTAAGGAACCTCAGAAGGCCTTTGGTAGGAGGAAGAAAAGCCAGACGTTTTGAAACTCAGAACATGCCCATTGATCATCTGGCATTCTTAGAGCTTCACTATTGATTAGCTTAGCCTGAGCAAGGATAGCTAGCAGCCACTTAACAATAAGCTCTCAACTCAAGCTCAGTGCACATGGAGATCCCCAAACAGTGAGGAAAAACGTTTTGTAGCTTAGCCTGAGCAAAGATAGCTAGTGTAGGGCTTACAATAAGCTCTCAACTCAAGCTCAGTGTACCTGGGGATCTCCCTAAACAGTGAGGATTTCTTTGTTTCTTTCTCCCTTGAAGTCCCCCCCCCGCAGCCATTTTTGCTTCCAGGGGGCTGCAGGGAGTCTTGCTAGGCACCCTCCCCATGCCCCATTTTGGCCTTAGCAAGCCTCCCTGCAGCCCCTGGGAGCCAAAATGGGGCGCGGGGGGGGGAACTCCTGTAAGGGGTGGGGAAGGTAAGGTCATGAGCCCGGTAGTGGTGGCGCAGCATGCTCGGGGGGGGAGTAGTGCGACTTATATTTAGGCAGGAGGTGGCAGCTCAGTTGGGGCACAGGGCAGGCGCCACGTGGGAAGGCAGCTTAGGCAGGCAAGCCGCCCAGGTGATGAGGAGGAAAAGGAAGTGCCTGGGTGGGGTGGGGACTGATTCGGGGGCGTGGCCAGCCAGCAATTAATACCGGTTCTGTGACCCTCGCCAATTTATCACTACCAGTCCTCCCGAACTGGTGCGAACCGGTAGCAACCCACCACTGTATAGCGGGCTCCAAGCTGGGGATCTCATCAAGTCTGTCACATGCATTACAGACCAGGGCTGCAGCTTGGCTTGGACTTGTGAGCTTCAACCAAGCAGGGCTGCAGAGAAAAATATTGCTGAAGAAATACTCTCAATGAATCCTTATGGGAGAGGTAAGAAGTGCTTAGAATGTTGTCAATTGCTCCATTCTAAGGCTCCCTCTCTCCTGGTCACATGATCAAGAGGGAACACACACACATAACAGCTGCAACACAAGTGGAGGGCCCAAAGACACATGCACACCTCACATGCACACTTCTAGATTAGGAAGAAAGAGCACACACTCATACGCAAATGCCACAGGTTACTTCTTTACATAGAATAGATACCATTTTTGGCCGCTGATGAAAAAGGGCTTGGAAGGAATTTCAGAAGCTACCATTTGCTTCCCCTGTTTAAATTATTTTAAAAGTCATCCAAAGCTGCATCTCCCAAGATTTACATTACTGAGCAAAATTGTTTTAAAATCTGGTGCTACATCACTTTCCATTTTTAAAAAGCCTTTAAATTCGTGTTTCTCACACATAATAATAATATAATGCTTTCTGGGCAAAGGAGCGTGTGCTTATCTGCCTCTGCACAAAGACTGCAACGTTAAGATCTTTCTAACTTTCAAGACTACATTTCTAACTGCAACTGACAAAGGGAAACCACAAGCCACTGGTTAAAACAATGTAGTGCTGTGCAGTCCTGATAAGACCTTCAGCATTGTAGAATCCTTCAGTTTAAGTTCAGACTCCCTAAAACTATTCGGCACCATTAAGAACTTTCATAATTAAATTACCCCCTTATTAAAATTTCAGCAGTCAACGTGGTACAGCGTACATTTGCTACGTTTCCCGTTTTATTACCATAATGAAGAGGCTGGTCACCAGCAGCTGGCATTTCGTAGCTCGGACCCAGGATCTCTTTCCCATGCCTTCCATTTCTTATCACTAACTATTAGAGAAGTTGCTAAAGGGACTGCCAGAAAAAGTTGCATCATTGCATCTTGGGAAATGTAGTCATAATGACGAACTGTATTTGTGGTTTTGTGTGTGTGTGTGTGTTTCGTTTTGGTACACTTTCATGTGACTGTTTTATTTTGATAGCCTAGAAAAAAAAAAGTTCCCAGTGGCACACCCATCCTCAATTACCGTGTGCATATCGTTCATTTCACCATAGAAGTGACTGGGATATCCAGAGGCAAGCTAAACGATCCTGAGCTGTTGGATCGTTTTTGAAAGGTCAGATGTGACCAGAATGAACATTCAATTTTAGACTGACCATATATATAATATATATATATTACCCCAAAGCTGGTCAGTCCCAAGATCATTTAAGAAAAGTATGTATCATAGATAGAAAAATATTTGTGTTGGCAAATAAACTTCAATAATAAGTCAATACTTTCTTACCCAAACAGAGGAAAAGAATGACCTTGGTTGAGCAAAACAAAACAAAACAAAACAAATAAATAAACAAACAACAGTGGGAGCAGAAGCAACTTCCGACTTCCTGCCAGCTTTGCCTGTATCAGAATCACAATCACAGAAATCACAATCACGCAGCCATGGGGAAGCTGGTTTGAACATTGTGGAAACTTTAATTCCACAGGAGTAATGGACTTTTTTTAACACATTCTTTAAGTTAGCGCATTTTAGGTACCTTGATTCAAAAATTATTGCAGTATTTTGCACCATTTGGGCTAATTTGAAAGTACAACAGACAGACACATTGAGAGTTTCAGTAGCATAGATATCTGATCAATGTATAAATGCTCTATAGGCATTGGCTGAATAACAGTTATCTGGACAATTGGCGTGGTCTGTAAGCATATTTTACATGTTTTTTATGTAAAGAACAGCATATATTCATACTGTGCCTATATCAAGCAGTGTCTATCTGGTTCTCTAATATATTAACATCCACCTTCAGATGTTAATGGAGCTGAATGTTTATAGTGATTATCGATATTCATCAACATCGGATTTCTTTTGACCAGAGGTTTGCAGTTTTTCTGTGGTTTATAACTGTTATTCAGATTAGTCATTTTAATCATTTTGTGGATGTTTTAAATAGTTTTCTCCATCCCACATTATGTAAGTTTTTATTAGTGTGGTGAGTTGTGAGTGCAATAAAAGAATAAATTAGTGAATAAATATTTGTCATTTGAAAAGTATTTAGAAAAGCACGAGGCATTTGCAGCTTTCATCAAACATACAGCACAGATGCATTTTTTGTTGTTGTCACAATGCATGAAATTTGGGGCTTGTTCACTTCTTTGTCTAGGTGGTTGACAGAGAATAATGTGATACCTTCCAAGGCGCCAGCTTGGAAGAAGAGGAAGAGCCAGCTCCAAGGACTTTGGATGGAGGTGAGGAAGAGCACCGAGAAACTGCTGAAGACTCTGAGCCAGGAGTAGAGGGGCCGAATACAGAGGAGAGATCGCTGGAGGGGCGACCAAAGGGGCAACCGGATGAAGGGCCAGCTGAAGCAGGAACATGAGACGGGCAGCTGCAGCTGGAGACCCCTGAGGCCCCACTGGAAGTACCAGGGGTATAGGGAGGTGAACAGCTGCAGCTGGCCAATGCAGATGAGGAGGAATTGCCTTGTTCCCTTGATTCATGAGCATGCAAGGAGGAAGGAGGCAGGCTCAGCAGAGGGGCTGGCCTCGTTCCTCCTGATGAGCTACACTGGCTAGCCACGATTTAACACAGTACCTGGAGCAGAGTGACACTGCGAACAACCTGCCTGTTTTGTGTGTGTATTTGTTCAGCTTTCGTGAATGCATGCCTTGATTCTGGAACTGGATTGGCGCTTTGCTCTTTTGGACTTTAGATTTGGCTTTTTGGAACCTTGTCCCTGGATTTTGGCTTAGTGATTTTTGTTTGGACTGTGGACTTATCGATGGATCTGAAATTTGGTGGGGAGAGCCTGACAGACTTGTGCTGCGCTCTGGGGAAAGTTGAACTCATTTTGCACTGGTTCATGTGTGTGTGTGGGGGTGTGTGACTCCAGGGGAACATTAATTGGAGATGGCAAAGCACCAGTAAAGACTGCAATTTTTGAGGGTGTGAGGATGTGTGGAGAGGGACAGGACAAATCAACAGCAATTGTATTTTACCAGAGATTTAAAAGTGAAGAAAAGAGCCTATTTTTAATGTTTAAGCATGCCCTTTTTTTCACAATTCTTCTGATCTAGTGTTAAAAGGCAGGAAAGAAATTAACAGAGAGGGAAATCTGACAGGGATGTCACATAAATTCACAGTAAGTCAACCAATACATCTACAGCTGAAGAACTTATTATGAATGAAATAATAATAGTTATAATAATAATAATAATTTTAATTATTTTTTAAAATTATTTTATTTTATTGATTAATAAAAAATTAATAAAAAATAAAAAAATTATAAATTATAAATTGTAAAAAATAAACAAAAATTAATAAACAACAACAAAACAACAAAACAACAACAACAACAACAACAACTATTATTATTATTATTATTATTATTATTATTATTATTATTATTATTATTATTATTCAAATACAGATGGATCATCATTTGGAACATAATACGCCAGATATCACAGTTGTTGAGGGCCGAAGCCTACAGTTTATTGATATCACTGTACCAGGAGATGTCAGAGTCGAAGAAAAAGAACAGGAAAAAAATCACGAAATATCACGAAATATCACGACCTGGCCACCGAAACTACACGGCTATGGATGAAACATGTAACAGTGATACCCACTGACATTGGGGCACTTGGTACCATGTCCAAGAATTTTATAAAACACATTGAGAAATTGCAGCTTCCTGCAATAACACCAGTGGAACTGCAAAAAACTGCGCTACTCGGAACATCATATATTTTAAGAAGATACTTGGTTGATACCTAGGACGCTGGCAGCAGCCCAAATCAACCATTAGCACCAGTCAATGGTATTTGTGATGCATTTTTAAATGTTCAGTTGACTGAGTTTCATGTTTAATGAATAAAAGAGATAATAAACAACAACAATAATAATAGTTGTTGTGGGTGCATGGTGTGGTGCTTAAATATAAAATATGGCTGTGTCACTAATCTGCATAAAAGGTCCATTCAGAGCCTGCATGTTTCTAACATGAACAGACAGACTGGATGGTGACAGACATATCAGAGTTGTGGTATCAGTATCATAGTAGATAAAGTACAAATACACTCCTCCCTGCCATATGCACATCCTTTAGTAAGATTGCCTTCACTTGAGATGTATCTATTTGTAGTAATCCACTGTGAGGTCACTAGAGAATGAGTGGTTGTCTGAAGAACCTCTCAAATGTTGGAATGAGCATGACTGATGCACAAGATGAATCTTGGCCATAGCTGTCACCAATACAAGAAGGAATCCTTCCCTGCCCTGTCATTGACCCATTCTTTTCCTTAATCCTGGGAGAGAGATTGCTTAAACAAGCTATCTCTTCCTGAGTGGCCTTCCACGGTGTGCTGCTTGCTTAACAAGCACAAACCACAAACTAACAAGTTCCTTGCTCTGACCTTAATAAGTTAATTGGTTACTGCTTTCACCTCCAAAGCAGCTTGCGCCCCACATGCTGCTGCCTGTTACTGTACTAACAAGCTCTCTGCTTAACCCTAATAAGTTAATTGATTACTGCTTTCATCTGTGGTGTGGCTTGTGCCTTGCCACAATTGGTTAGCAAAGGAATCAGACTGCACTATTGTGTTCCTTCCAACCGCGTTCCTTCTAACGTCCAGAAACATGACTGATGATAAGGTGTCTTGTTGAGAAAATCAAAGCAGAATCAGGATGGATACATAACTCCCATTTCAGCTCTATTAAAGATCATAAAGAAGTACACTGTTGTCTCTGCTGTGCCCTGATCTGAAAACTGACTAAAATAAATCCAGATAATCCATTCCTCAGAATTATTTAGAGCTGTAACCTGACCACCTTCTCAATAGCCTTTCCTAAAAAAGGAGAGTTGGACCCTGGGAAAGAAATTGTCCATAATTGTTGGGTCTAGTGATGGTTTGTTAAAGAAGGATGCACCACTTCCTCATTATGCCTGATACAGTGGTGAAATGCAAAATTTGTTACTACTGGTTCTGTGGGCGTGGCTTGGTGGGAGGGGTAATGTGACTGGGTGGGCGTTGCCAACTTTTTTTAAAATTATTTTTTAAAGCATTTTTTCTACAACCTTTTTGGCCGAAAAGGTTGCAGAAAAAAATGCTTTTAAAAGCCTCTGACGATCAGAGGTAGTGATGGCGGCGGGTGATTCGCCCACCTGCCTGGTCATCGTTACTTCCTGGTTTTAACCAGGAAGTAACTTGTTTTTTATCCTCTGTGCATGTGCAGAGTTGTGCACTTCCGAACCTGTAGGGAAAGTAAATAGATTTCACCCCTGCCAGGAAGGACATGAATCCAACAGTGACTGGGGTTCATTTTTGCAGTCTGAATTTGCTTGTTCAATTTATCAGGGTCATAGCCTCACTGTGATGTCCACTATCCAGACTTTTTCGTCTTTCTTATCAACAATAGTTCAGTCTGGAGTGGCAGGTGCTTATCTGTTTGAATTCAAAAGTCCCAGAGCACTTCAGCATCATATTCTATTACTGTGTCTGTTTTATGGTCCCATCAATTCTTGTTTGCAAGTAAGTGGTATTTCTTACAGATATTCTAATGCATCATTGGTGCTACTTTATTGTGCCTGAATACAATAAGCCGGTTTAGGTTTCCTTCCTATGTCAACTGAACCTACAAAAGAACATTAAAGGAAATGGGACAGAAATTAGAATGAAAATTGGTGGGAGAAGCATTAAATGAATATGATAATTCCTGGAAATGAGGAAGATTTAAGGAATCACATGTTGAAAGTAAAAGAAGCTACTTTGCAGAAAGAGAGACAAAATTAGATAGATAGATAGATAGATAGATAGATAGATAGATAGATA